AAGAATGAGCCGGACATCTGAAAGTGGCGGTTTGCGGGATTTAAATGGAGCTGCTATAATGAAGATCCAACCTACAATCTCAGTCCCCTGTCCTCGAACTCCTCTTCAAGGTTGACAGTAGGTAACAGTCCGTAGCGCGCTTCAAATACGAATCATGATCGCGGGAGATTGACTCGATCAGGCTTTGACTGGGAGAACAGTGCTTTTTCCAGAGATGCGATTGCTCATTTCCAAGCTTGAGTTGCGTCAAACAGAAGAATGAATCAACAACTTGGATCATCAGCATCAACAAACAACGTTGTTATTATTCGATGTAAATACTTCAGGCGTCGGTGGACCAAGGATCGTAACAGGAGAACTCCAGAAGATGAGCCAGTCATATTGTCATCGACCAGCCAGAGAACTCGCCGAATCACAGACCCTTTGCGAACCCGAATCATTGCGAATCCCTTCAACACCTGCACCGTCAGAGTCCTGTCATTCGTCCGCTAGAGCCCGCCCCTAAGTCTAGTAACTACCTAGTAGTAGTACGTAGTAATCTTTGCATCCCGGTCTAGGTGCTTGGAGTATGTGTCTCTTTCTGGTCATGAACATAAAGCATGTCGCCTCCTCTTTCTGTTTGTTGAAGACCTGTCGAGATATGGATCTTCTTGAGGGATGAAGAGTGGTCGCCAGTACGGAGAACTACGTAGAACATCATCTCATCGCCATAGAACGAGGAGGGCTTCTAAGGCGTCTAGAAGATAGTCAGCAGTATCCAATTGGGATCATCATGATAATAGTGGAACTATTGTTACCCTGGGTACTCTGGCAAGACAAGGTAGATAGAGGTAGTAAATAGTGGCTTTAACTCCTATCTCACTGCACACTCAACAATGACAGTATCATTATCATTAAAGCCCAAGGTAGTCTGTAGAAAGAGGTATTCCGTAGCTTCCATTGGTATCAGTCCGTAATGTCGATGGAGTTGAGGAATTGAGATAGATGGTGGATATTGATAGACACACTGATTCCATACATCACAATCAATCATATTTCTTTTCTCATTCATCGTCAGCAGAATCATCAACATCATCACTTGGTGATTGTGGAACCCTCCATCCTTCAGATTTCCCTGTTGCTGTCTCCATCGTCGTCCTGTATCGCCTTCGCCACTACTGGATCTCTCCTGATTTCATCCTCCGCCTCATTCTCCTCCTCTCCCATCCTTCATTCCATCCTCCTCTTTCTCTCTCTTTTCCTTCATTTCTTTTCGTCCGATCTTATTTTTCCTGAAACTTCATCTTCACCATGGACCATCACACTGCCCCCTCTCCTTTGTGATCCCTTTTTCAGCCTGGGTCGGGTCCATCGCCTACCGTGCTCTGACCTTTCAATAATCACGGGTAAACTGTGTGTGGTCTTCAGGTCCAGGCTCTTGAACGTTTCTTGAATTCCTGTTTATGATAGATAGTAATCAACCCCTCCTTCTCCTTAGACCATCAAGTGCAATCCACCTCTCTCTATATCCGTCCGAGTCTTGCGATCGGCTCGATTCCCCCATGTTCCCCACTTCGCTTGTCCTCAATGCTTTTCTGAGGCTGATTGTTGTTCCGCCACTGTTGCTCTAGGATTCGCCGTTACGCGCACGATTTCTCGCAGTCTCCCTCTGTTTCTTCTCGGCTTGACATGGGATCGGTCGTCCTCAATCAACCGCGGTCGGATCAGATTGATAGCTCCTACACGATGCTGGGAGGCTCCATCAATCCATCGGAATCTGTTTATCGGTCCTCATCTCACCATCCGTCGTCACAGCTGGAGACCGGAAGCTCCAGGTCTACGTCCGCTAATACTACCCCCACCTCGTCCACGGCCCCGCCATCAACGTCTGCCGCTGGCTCTGCTCGCCTGCACTCCCACCCACCACCATATGATGTACCGGCCTACATCACCCGTCAATCTCACATCAACTCCTTCCCTTCCACCCGGGCGTCTTCAACCACCCCAGGGCCAACTTATACCCCTCCCCATTCGGTCTCAATGAGCTCGACCACCTCCAGCCACGCACACCATCCCGAAGCTTCCTTCCAGTCGACTCCATACACCTCCAACCGATTCGGAAATGTCAGCCAGACACCCACCGAGCCGACGCTGGTCGCTTCGTATAGCCACTCATCACCCGCGTCGCCGCGGTTGAAGCCGACATTCCAGTCGCTACGCTCTCTTGGAGGCTCCGAGGCCAGTTCGCCGAGCCGCATCAAAGTTCGTGACCTGTCTCATATCCAGAGCTTCGCCAGCGAAGAGTTTTTGGCGCAGTCGCAGAAGAGCCAGGCGCCTGGGTCATGGTACCAAGAGCGCCAGTATGAAATCAGTTCCATGCCGGTCACGGATATCATTGAGATGGTTGCTGGGCTCTTGACGAAAATCACCACCACCAACGACCTGCACCACGAGCATGTCCATCGACATATTCCGCCACCTGATAGCACGGCCAATCTCAGCCCACAGGCCACAAGCGTACTTGCTTTTCATGGCAAAAACGTACCGAGTATCACTATTCTCAGTTACCTAACGCGTATCCACAAATATTGTCCCACGACCTACGAAGTTTTTCTCAGCCTGTTGGTATACTTCGATCGCATGACGGAGTTAGTGAACAAGGGCCAACTTGAGCGCCTGCAGCGCCGCTGGGACCGTGGAGCAACCGTGCACACTGACATATCCAGGTCGAGGTTTTCCGAATCGTCGACTGGTCATCATGCGCAACCATCCCCAATGGTGACTCCTCCATCTTCGACCGGAATACGAGCGCAGGATCCAAAGAGTCCATCCTCCATATCACCGTCTCTTTATCCTCAGGACGAGAACGAGAGCCTCTCCCATTTTTTCGTCGTCGATAGTTTTAACATTCATCGGCTGGTCATCGCGGGCGTGACTTGTGCCAGTAAATTCTTTTCTGATGTTTTTTATACTAATTCTCGATACGCAAAGGTTCTTCACCCTTGAACTGAAGTTAGGAACAACTTCGCTGAACTTCAATTAGGTCGGAGGGCTCCCCCTGGTCGAACTTAACCATCTCGAGCTTCAATTCCTCCTACTGAACGATTTCCGCCTCTCGATCTCCGTCGAAGAACTTGAAGCGTACGGTACGATGCTAGTGGAATTCTACGCTCGAGAAATTATAGCCCAGCAGCAGCAACAGCAGGCACAGAATCCAGCAGTGCCTCGTCCGATGGATCCATCCACAGCTACTGATTCCCAATCGGAGGGGATGTATATGCGATCTCGCGAGAAGCGCCGCGCCGACCAACCAGAGGTCCGCCAGACACCTACGCCCCCATAACAGCCATAGTCCAAACATGGCCTGCCAGCCGGTTACCACTGGGTGACCTTGAAATGCTATAGTTATAAGGTTTACTTGTCTATTGCGCGCGGATATGTATCAACGACCGACCTGCTCTCATTTGATGATTGGCGTCACATACCCTTTTTTTTTTTTTCGCTCTAGCTTTGCGCTTGTGCTGGTTCCGGTTCTTCTTCCCGCGTCTCCAAGCCATCGCTTCGTCACTTGACATTTTTTTTTCGTATAGACTTTGGGCTGCCAGCATGTCGGTTTCTCGCATTGATTCTGGCGACGTTTCTATATCTTTCTACCTATCTTCATTCATCTTCGATATCCTGCAGTCTTGAATCACCTTGTCCCCACCTGCTGTCTCTGCATCCATGAGCTGGCGTTCCCGGCGTTGTTCTCTCCACCGTCTCTTTTCTCTTCTATTCAGGCAGTCTGGCCTTGCGAATCATAACATTATATTCTCTTTCTAATTTCTCGAGATTGATAAATCGCAATCATCTCATGCTCCATTCTCAGAAAATCGCATGCGGCATGCATGACTATATCCAGCTACCTACTGCCCTGTCTGTCAACGACCACGAAAACAGACACGAAAATGACGGCGGAAGAGCCACTGCGACTGGGGCTGGACGACTTTTACCCATACTTGCCTTATAAGAGCCAAGTATCAGATAGCATCAAACTCTAGGGCTTCGTGGATTTATTGAACCGATGCAGCATAGCAGGATGAAACACATTGCATTTAGTTCACATAGTTGATGGCTGCAATGGATAGATTCATTCCTTCCTGAACTGGAAAAAAGTAAATCGCCATGTCGTAAGGGAAATGGAGCTGTGTGCTTCATTTGATCTGCAGCCATATCGTCGGTGGATCCAGAGCTCGGATTATCTGATTATCAAAAGTAGTCCCTGACTCCTTGCATCTGATATATGCGGATCTGCAAGTGCATGCCGTGCACACAGCGTATGCAGCTATGTACCCCTTACACCAGTCCAGGTTGCATACTAAGACACCACAATCAACTCTTTTGCCTCCGATTCTACACGAACAATACCGGCAAGCGTATGACTTTAGGATGTTCACCCAGCAGTGTACAGCGAGACACCCTCAACCGCCATCAAGTCCCCGCAGCCTTCATCTGCCGCAACTTGTACTATGATAAACCCCCAGATCAAGGTGATAGTGAATGTTGCAGAGTCGGAGACTTAAGTCTAAGTAAAGGTAAGGCTGAACCTCGTTTGACGGGCATAGACGAGTATGTGAGTGAAAGATTGAAAGTTGGCATTGTCAAAGTCCAATGAGAACAACAAGAGCAATCGAATCAAAGAGGACTGGAGTAAGAGATATGAAATACAAAACATCAGTCCGTACGCGCAAAGCGCGAAACATGGAACAGAAAGACAATACAAGAACAACAGATTGAACAAACAGAATCTATCCACATCAACGCACCAAACCCGCATCGTCCTCCAAACACCTGGCTACCGATGATCATAATACTTGCTGTGGTACGTTAGCAATTGCTCTGAGAAACGACCCAGCAAAAGCTCGACACACCAATCCTGCTTTGAATGCTTGCCAACAACCACAGCCAGCGCACACCTCCAACTCGTCCGCCCTAGAACATCTCAGTCGGCGCGAAGAACACACCAACAGACGACACCAAGCTTACTTGCAGTAGCCGTTGGCATAGACTCGTACGTCCAACTTCCGGTAAACCACAAAACTTTTAACACGCTAGATCTCAGCACTTGGCAGTGAAGCAGCCACCAACATTGGAACTTACCATGTACACCAACAACACAAGCCACCATCCTCCAGCACCGTCCGGAAGTTCCTCTCGATTGGCCGGCGGCCTCTGGCGCTTCAATCTAAGTCAGCCAACTCAAGACGAGCGACTTGTGTCACTAGAAAAGCACTCACCTAATCTCAAATCGAATTCGGTTGCAATACAGTCTTTCAAACGTGGCCCGCCAACCACTAGATCGCATCAGTATCAGTAGCAAGACAAAAGGTGAGCAACTTACCCCCAACTCCACGCTTTTGCGCCACCATAACCCTCCGGAGGGTACACAGTCGCGGTCTCGTCGGTCTCGGCATCGGCTCGGCGGGGCGGAGCGCCGCCCTTGGCGCTCCTGGCTGAGGGACTACGACTTACTTCCCGCGTACGGGGGTGCGTCATTACCCCTGAAAAGGGAACCCTCCACGCAGGATGTCCTATGATTCCAGTCAATTTATCAGCTTCGATGATGTCAGAAGATGGTCGACCCACCTTAAGGTCAGAGCAGTAGCGCCATCAATACTTCAACAGGACAGAGTACGCCAGCGATCTATAAACTCATCAGCAGTACCTGGTTGGTCTTCCCCATCGAAGACCAGAGCCAGCAGACAACTATGTGATGGGAGGGAGCTGAACGAGTGGACGACACGGTGTCATAGTGGAAACGAAAGTTACCTCGAGAAACCAGCCATCCCCATCGGACTCCCACGGAGTGAGCAAACGTAGTGGAAGTGCCCCGGTGGCCGCTACCAAGAACGTTTGAACACGTGCACCTTCGGCACGATCCAGCGAGATACAGGCTGTACCGTAACATCTCCGAAACGAACGCGTTTCGCTGGCTTATCCTTGCGGAGTCGGTCAGCTGACGGGGTCGATCTTTGAGTACGCAACAGGTCTGTAGCCGGAATCGCCGTACTTCGGGTGCCGTTTGTCGGGGCCGGGTGGGGTGGCGTCGGGTGTCCCTCGCGGGACCGGTTGGCGAGTCGGGCCTGACGCTTGGCTCGGAATTGCTCGATGGCAGGAGCGAGGGCGGAAGTAGTGGCCCGCATCGAAGCGAGCTGTGCTTTTTGCTGAGCGATCATCTCGTCGATCCGACGGCGTCGCTCGGCCCGGGCGGCGCGGATGTCGGAGATGCGGTCGGAGATCGAAGGAGCGGAAAGCCGAGCTTGCTCTGAGCGAGTGGCAGGACGAGCGGCGTGAACGGAAGGAGCGGAAGGCCGGACTCGTTCCGAGCGAGTGACAGGACGAGTGGCGTCAATTGAAGGAGTGGAAGGGGTCGACTGTTTTCGTGCTCTGACACGAGCGACGACTTCGTCAAAGGCAGCGAGTTTCGAAAGAGTCGCGCGGCGGTCGGCAGAACGAGCGGCTTGGCATCGAGCTTCTTCGGCGAGAATACGTCGAATGCGCTCGGAGCAACGGGCGTAGCCGGTGGTCGGAACAGAAGGAGGGGAAGCGAGTTCGACTCGAGGTTGGGTTCGACGGTCGACTGGCGGTCTCTCTGGGAGATTGTAGCGGGAACGAAGGGCTTGAGAGCGGAGTCGAGCTCTCTCCAGAATGGAATGAGAGTCAAGGGGTCGGTCCTGTTGAGCAGCTCCTCGACTCTGCGAGGGGAGGCTGCGGGTGAGAGTTTCACCTGTCCCAGGGCGAGCTGGAACAGGTGCACGAACGAAACGAGTGGAAGGGGCCGAATTGAAAGGAGCGGAACGAGCCGGTGCAGGTGCAGAGGCACGGGAAGAACGAGTGGCAAGATACGAACCTCTTCGTACCTCAGTAAAAGAAGGGACGCCAGCTGAACGGATGGGCGAACAGTCTGGCACAAGAGAGCGGCAAGGAATCGTCGGAGTCCGGCGGTCCTTGAAGGGAGAGAAGGAGGAGGAGAAGGAGGAGGAGGCGGAGGAGGAGGAGGAGAGGGAGTACCCAAGCTTGCTGAGACGAGACATTGCGAACAACGACCGTCAAAACAACTTGGTCAAAAAACGGAAAAGAGGAAAAAGGGAAAACGGGGGCAAGAAAAAAGGTGAAAGCAGTAGCAGGTAAGCGCAGAAACACGATATAAGCTTGAGACGAACGCAGAGCGTGAAATCACGATACTAGCATCAAACGACCATATGGTGTTGAGGAGAGAAAAGAAGAAGAAAGAGGGAAAAGAGGAGGGAGGAGAAGAGCGGATGCTTTATAGGCTCTGTTTTGCGTGCCAGAGAGAAGCAGAGGAAGGAGCAAGAGGACGGGACGTCGAAGAAGAAGGAGCAGCACCGACAGAGGGCGTGAGGAAGCAACGAAGGCAATGACGGCAGGAGGGAGGCACACACTGACAGCCATGGCAATGGAGGAACGACATTCACTTGGACAATTGAGTCGAATGGCATGAGATGGCACGAGAGAGCCTAGATAACCAAGGAGTCCAACATCGTATATCCAACCGACAGAAGCTTGTAGACCAGCAAAGGTGTCGATGTAGCTGGAGGACATTGCGCTTGTCGTAGCCAGACACATCCTGCTCATTAGTCCGCTGATGCCTAGAAAATCGTGAGACGTTAGAAGCAGGCAGGAGCAGGAGAAACATTGTCCAATTCAAGGACTGTTGAGAGAACTCGGTAACAGGAAAAAGGTATCGTTCATTCAAAGCACTGTTACAATTGGTAAATTCATATCATCATATGCATGCAGAATCATAAAAACCACTTCTCAGGCCCCGTGTTGACCTATACCTTCGCCTGTTCACCGGTGCACCCTCATTACTCAATAATCTGTGTGGAATGCCCGCGTTACTGCTGACTCTAGCATCATTCGATCCGAGGAGGACTCGACGACTTCTTTCCCAGAGGACTCAGACTTGAACTGTGCTCCCGTCAGTATCGACCGCCATGTTCAGGAGATGAATGAGGTGAGTGACATACGAACGACGCCTCTCGCCTTCTTTTCGAAAGCCCTCGATAATCTTGGCGATCTCTTTCCTACCAGCGCGAGCATCAACCTTCCTCCCACCCAAGCTCATGCTGACTTTCTCATTTGCATTGGCGGTTAACAGCCGTTTCAGAAGAAGGTGCCGCATACTCATGCATACGAAGACGCCGCAATCGCTGCCATTTTCCTGTACGGGGGAATCTTCAAGATGAATAAACCGGATCGGCCGGTTGAGAAGCGTGCCAAATTTCTGTGTTACGGCTCTGGCCTCCCAGTAATTCCCCGGAGGCAGCGAATCATAGTGAAACGCCACGCCGTCAACGATGGATATCAGCAGAAGCGACCAGTGCGTGCCACCCTCTGCTTCAGTCACGTTCCGGCAATCGTTGATGGGAAGAAAGACATGCGTTGTACGCGAGAAGTCGGGCAAAGCCTCGCGCAATGAGTGAGGATTCGGCGTCTGCAATAGCATAAAAGACATGCTGGGGCGAAGAAGCACGATATGGGACGTCTTATACTGAACGAGAAACTCCCTCTCCAGATATCTGGATTTATCAGTTCTCCGATAGCCATCACAAGACTCGCCCGACTTACTCCTCCCAGAAGGAAATAATCTGCCAGCACGTTAGTTACTGCATACATTCTACGGCCACTATGCAACCCACATTATCCGTAAGCCAGTCATTCTTGAGAGTCTGCATGTCCTCCCTCGTCACTGCAATTTGTCAGGCCGTCCAATCACTCTGACACAAGCCCGGGGGGTACCATACACCGTATATCGTAGTCTGTCAACTCCAGCCTAGTCAAATCCACTTTGTCCCGAGCAAGAAGCATGAAGAGGAACACCACTCACAACTAAGATACGCATCCTCCGGATTCAACTGTCAAAGTCAGCACATCCTCCGCTTAGATATCTCCACAGACCCGCCAAGAGTGCCTCAGACGGATCTTCAGCCCAGAATGTCCTACTTACAGTATCGCCAAATCGCCTCATCTTCTTATGCAGCTTTCCTAAGCCGCCGTCCCGCATTGTGTCCGGCTAGTGCACTCAATCCTCCGAGCTCAATATATATACCAATCCGTGACAGTGCGAATAGAATCCAACTTCAGAGATATAGAACGGCAGGAATTTCGTGTAAACCGATCAAATAACGACGCTCGTATCGCTGATTCAAATGGACCTATACAATGAGGAATATACAAATCACAAGAGAAAGATATAACTCCTCGTTCAGCCCGCCAGCTTTGCAAGACAAGCCTCAACCGAAGGAGCGCCCAGCGGAAACCCGAGATTTCTTTTTAGAATGGCTCGTACCACCTTGCGGGGGAGGGGAAGATGGATAACCGAGTCGGAGCAGAGAAACGTCGACGAAAAAGGACACTGTTATGGCTGTATTCACAATTGGCTGAATCTGAAAAGCAAGGCTTGAGATCACTGACGGAACCCCTTCGCCCCCAGGCTCCTCTTCGTCAACAGGAAGATTCCAGCTTGCTCCCTGCGGCGATCAACGAGCCACTCCGGGGTGCCGCGGTGCAAGACGTCACTTGGGGCTTGTGGCGCGTGGCTGGGGTCCACGTGATCTTACCGCAGCTGGCTCAGGTGGCATCTACGTAGCGAAGTGGTATAAACATCCGAATTTAATGCATTCGTCACTCGATCAGGGGTATCTAAATGTACACTCGAACATTTCCTTCCGAATGGTAAGGGTAGAAGTCAATCAGTCGCTTCCTTTCCCGCCAGCATAATTGCAACCAAAGATCTTCCTTGTCCATCATATCAGAAAATGCACGCCATAAACAGACAACAGAAAGCAAACTGAAGGATACTCCCACATTGGCCCATATATCAGATTCATTCGCAGTTGCGGTTGAGTGTGATATGAATATAAAGCGTGGATGAAAAATCTCACTGGGCCATGGTACTCTGACAGAAAAAACAATTCAAGTATCACGCAAGGAATCATCATGCAAACATATAACATCATGTCACGCAGAATTCTACCCGCGTGGTCAAGCTAATTCGAGAGCTTCGCAAAGTGTTTGTTCCAGATCCAACCGACTTGGTGGGTTGGATCGTCCTGGTTTATGGCAAGCCAGAGCTCACCCTTCTCAGCTATGACATCGAAGATCTCCCCAGCGACATAAGTGAGATAAGGATAACCGGCTTCGCGCCGCGCCCGATCGATATTGAACTCGTAGATGCTGGCAGCGAGGAAGAGCACCGTCGGCTCCTTGGGCGCGGCATCCTCCACAGGTGTGTCGTCCTGCGGATTGTCCGACATGGGCATAGCGGACGAGAAAAAGCCAGAATAACGGCCTCCAGGAGAGGTTGGTGGATTCTCAGAGGCTTGGTCGTTCTTTGATGAAGCGCCCATGATGTCGACGAGGAATGGCGAATCAAGACTCAACCTCGGCAGGCTGGGAAAGGGCTCTGTCTTTAGCGGTGGGGCCACCGACGCAGATGAGGAGCTCGTGATCTGCTGCAGAATCTGACTCCGTGGGATTTCAGACGTTTCTGGTGCAGCACGACCAGAGATAGCTGAGTCAGCTCGATGGCGGCCGTAGGATCTCTGGGATTGAGTATCGAGGCTTGGGGACTGGAAGATGTAGCTGCCGTTACCGAAGTCGTGGGAGACTTTGGGTGATTCACCCATGGTAGACCCTATGCGGGTGCTCGTGCTGTTCACAGTTGAGGGCCGCCGAGGCGAACTGATGGTAGGTGCAGTCGAAGGAGTGTTGAAGTTGACAAGATTGACAGTATCAGCGAGCAGCGATCCGTTGCACATGCCAAGCGACAAAACCTGCGCCTCCGCCAGAGTGAAGTTTGCAGACCAGTCACTGATGATCTGTTGAATATCGTCCGGAAAAGAGTCGATAAGATCCACAAACTTTTTCTGGAGGATGTTGAACCACGTAGTCTGTATATGCACAAAGTTTTTCAGGCACGTCTCCATCATCTTAGCAGTCAGAGAGTAGAGCTTGGGCAGTTCCTCCTTGAGGGTCTCATTGAGAGCTACGAATTGTTCGCTTTGCTCTGTCGTCTTCTTATCGGGCTTGTCACCACGGTCCTTGATGGATTTGAATCGGGCATGGTCCATGAGGCGCTTGTCTCGTTTCTTCATCACTCTCTGGGGCCCGTCGTAAAGTTTGAGCAGGGTAACCATCGGGTCAATCACGCTCTTTCGGACAACGGCGAGCTGAACATTTCGCAATTAGCCTTGGAAGCTCAGTTCCAAATGTCAAGAGTCTGCTCGACTTACATGTTCAGGCAGAGCTGTGGCCATTATTTCACGAACTGCCATCTTCAGGTCACGCCACCTGCTCTCCACGTCCAAGTAGCCCGACTGAGCCACGTCGACGAATCCTTCGATCGCGGCGACAAACTCGCTGAATCGATCTAAAGAACTCTGGACTTCCCGCGTGTACATCTCCACGTCACGCATCACAACTTGTAGCTGGAAGAAGCTATCTCCAAATCGTTGCGATAGCGTGTCGTACTCCTTGTCTTCAAACATATCGGAAAGGCCGACTTGCTGTCTCAATTTCTCGGTGCGCCGACCAAACGCCTTCGATAGCCCGGCTCTGACATCCGACTCTTTCCTCTTGCGGCCGACAACCTGACCGACTAAGTCTGCTCGCTTCTTCATTTCGTTGATACGGACCGAGATGTTTGTAACCTCTTCTAGAGCATTCGCCAAATATGGACGGTCCGGGTGGTCGCTCGGGGTTGAATCCAGAATCTCGCTTAGCAGTAGGGGGTACTTCAAGATTCGTTGCACCGGCTTGACAAGTAGCGAGTCTAGGTCCCAAGCAGTGGTGAGATCTGAAGCCCATTCCCGACATTCTTTGAGCCAAATGGCTACTTTCGGATTCCGTTGCAGTATTTGAAGCTTCTTGTTGGCGGCATCGTGGTTCTTCAGATAATCGGCGTACACTTTTTCCATGGGAGCAATATGAGCTAGGAAAGCCTGACCAATGAAGGTTGACCTGTCCTTCTCTGTATCAGAGACTTCACCTGCGCCACTCGCAGCCTGCGAGTCTGTCTTGGATGCGTTGGTGTGATTGTTGCGAGTGCTGCGTTTACTGCTCCATCGCTGAGATTTTGGCATAACATAAACGCTCCTTGCTGCCTCTTTAAGGGCATCCTGGAAGCTCATCGAAAATTGCACAATCTGATCTGAGTTACCGAATAGAATCTTGACATCTTCAGGTGACAAATCCAAGCATGAACTGGAAGTCCCTTTGTAGATATCGTCGACGACCTTCATGTCCCTTCCAAAACTGTACTCAGTATCAACCAGCTCTTTTATGACATGCCTCCGTTTCTTTAGGCGTTTTTGGTCCGGGGACGGAGAGCCTCTGGGAAGCTCGACTCGGATCTGGTCGGTAGTCGAAGGAACCAAAGACGTCGCTGATGAGTCAAGGGTGTGGAAAGAGGGGGTAGGTTGGAGCCTTCGGAGCGAGGAATCTTCGCTGCTTCCAGTACTTTCAACCTGGCCCAAAGGTGCGAAAGCCAGCGACGGCGCGAAGCGAGAGGATGTTTGTGTTGACTGGACACTCGGTGCAGCCTCTGGTTGTTGTTGTTGTTGTTGTTGTTGTTGTTGTTGTTGTTGTTGTTGTTGTTGTTGTTGTTGTTGTTGTTGTTGCGATTGATCAATTCCCTCTTTGGCGACCGAATAGGTGACAGAATCGGAGCTGGGGAGCGAAGTCTGTGGAATTTCCCGACATTCGAGCTCTTGCGGTGATTGGACTCTGATGGCGAGACCGAGAGTGTCTCCGCCCTGTTCGAGCCCAGTCCGATCTGTGGCTGATGTGTCCAATCGTGGCGTTAGTACACCATCGCGCGCAGAAATAGCATCGCTGTTTTGCTCCTGAGAGCCCGTTCCATCGGCAGCGGTCACTTGCATCCAGTCTGCAATGGATGGAGAAGCATGTTCCCAATCATCTCGAAATATCAGGCTTGCTGTATGCCCAATTCGTTCCGAATGAGGGATACCATCGGCCTTGGATATCACAACCGGGTCATCAGTTAAGCTATCTGTTCTTCCGTCCGCACGCCTCTCGAGTCGAGGCTCAGGAGACGCGCGGATTGCAGGCATCGGAAGATTATGGCCTCTGCCTCGAGCCAACTCCTCAAGATATAGCTGGGCTACCCGTTTAGAATCCCAACCACCAAGTCTTGCCAGGTTAGGAGCGCTAGGATACATATAAGCGCTTCTTTGGGAAACGACCTCGTGTTTTTGTTCGGTGACAGGTTCGCTATTGGCAGAGACGGATGCGGTGGGTTGACGACCAGTGACAGAAGGGGCATTACTCGACGAAGCAGAACAGGACTGGGTAGCCGCTTCGCTGTCCTGTGCAACTTGTTGCAACTGGGAGAGGTCATCCTCGCTGCCCTCGCAATGGTCGTCCGTTGACTGTTGGTTGTGAAGGGAAGATGACCAGGAACTTATACTCCACCTGTTCGGCATTCCATGACGAGCTTGGTCCTGCTGCACGAAAACATCAGGGTGTACTTGGCCGTCGCTGGAAGCCACCGATTCTTCAGAGCATGGGGCGTCACTGAGCAGTACCGGAACCGATATCCTATCCTCAGTATCAGAAAAACTGTAATCCGCTTCATCACAAGATGAGCTGTCGGGACTTGATTCCCGGATCTGCATAATTTGACTCAGTAATGTTCGGTGAGAGGCATGAAGGCTCTGTCGACTTAGACCAGCTTGGGGCTCAGGGTCAAGGGCAGTGATATTAGTGTCGACCGATACTGGTGTTTCGGCGCAAGTAGACTGGCCGTCGGCGGCTCCCAAGGAAGAGAGGCGGACCGCATGCTCTCCAGCACCTATGTGCGGAAGACCCAACGTCGGAGAGTCCATGGTCATCAGATGGGCGTTGGGGTCTGTTGCTGCAGTCTCTTGAATAGCGATGCTGGTGTCGATGTGCAGCTGGGGTGGTCCCCGTGAATCCCCCTCGCCACATGTCAAACGGTCTGCCTCATGATCGGCCACGGTTGAGTTCTCATTCACGGCAGAATTATGGTCGGATTGCAGGGAATGGTCGATTCCGGTGTCCCCGTGCGAGTCTTGCTTTGATGCAGTCGGCTCATCATGAGCTTGCTGGCCCTCTTGGGCTTTGACGCGAAGTCGAAGCTGCGCTGCCTCTTCCTCTTTTCTCTCATTCTCTTGCACTGTGCGATTGAAGGCCTGCTGGATTTTCTGCCGTCGGGTCGCAAAGTCGACGTTGCCCAGCTCTGGAAGTCTATGTCCCCGCGTCCGCGAGGTCCGCAGATCCCGATCGCGGTTTAGCTGTCTCTGGAAATTGGACACTGTTTCAACAACTCTGGATCGCGGCGTGGTGGAATTCGTTTGCGAAACATGCTGCCGAGGTCTCGAACTGCGCAGCGGGGGTGACTTCTTGGGAGGAGGAGAGGCTATGTATGCTTCAAGGAGGGTGTTCCTCTCAGTTCCTCGACGAGGACCTCGACCATAAGCCATATCTCGCCTTCGAGGCGATGTCATCACGATCGGTGTACGGTCATCATGTGCGACAGCACGAGGAGATTTGGGGGACGGTTTGGGGAGTCGGCTAATGCCTTTCGGTGGCAGCGGAACTTGCGAGTCGAAGCGGCTGCTTGAAAGTGGGTCAATTTTCAGGAGGGAACAATCCTCCGCAACGGAAACAGTATTGAGACGAGTGGACGATATAGGTATGCGGGACTTGGAATGTGAGCTCTCCAGTGACCCTCCCAGCCCTGGCTGCAAGGGGCTCAGCACCGCCATGTGGGATTCAGGCGAGTGCGCCACACCGCCAACAGGCAAAACTCCAGACAGATCACTTCTGGCTCTTCGATGACTACTGCTGCCCTCGCCAGTACTCACAGCTTCAAGAAATGGCGTGCGGCCCAAGTACCATGCGGTTGGTGTCAGAGGCGATAGTCCAGCTGAAAGGTCAGGATTGTCAAGGAGTGCAGGATTCGGGCTAGGAATGCTTCCCTCAGAACCTCGACGCCGCAAATGTGCCGGGAGCCCGAGTCCTGATCTTGGAATCCCTGTATCAACCGTGAGCAATCCACCAAACGGCCGCCGAGGTAGCGATGCCTCAAGAGTTTCCAGGGCACTGTTGTTGACCACGCCTGCCTGAAATGAGGTCGAGACGGATCTCGAGAAGAAATCTCCCTTGGAATGATCGATTGACTTCCACCGGGATGGCGGTTCTCTCTTTGCTGTTGGGACGTCGCGCGTTTCGCGCAATCGTGACGGAGCCCTGGATCTCACTACGCTGTCGACAGGACCGATTGGACTCGGAGCTCTTGACGGTGACCTCGAGGTAGACGCTGATGCCGTTGGAAGTGGGAGCACTTGATCAACGTTCTGATTAAATTTATTCACCAAATCCTTGAACGATGTCTGTCTTGGTCTTGCGGTCGAGGGTGGGGCAGCTGCTCCCTTGATGGGATTTGTCCCACGACCGCTATAAGATGAGTCGGACACTGATCGATTTTGCGTGAGACTCGCACGCGATAGCTCCGCAGATTTCGCCGTCAATGAAAGTGCTCGCTGCGCGTAAGTAGATCGATTTTCCGTGGCGGAAGCACAGTTCCCAACCATCAAGGCATCACTTGAAGTCAAAGCCCTTTCACTGCCTTCAACCACGATCGAGGGGTGCGGGCGATAGAACTCGTCAGGATCCGGCGATGCTCGATCTTTCTGGTTATGATTTTCGAATTGAACCTTTGAGGAAACCGAGGCGGGCACACAGCTTGTTTGAGAGCCTATCGCAGCCGATCGAGCAGGACAGGTATCGAGCAGAGGCTCGTGAGTCAAAGAAGGTGCTCCGTCGACTGGGGGTGAATGTAACGGACTTTTAAGAGGGGCGTCATAATATCGTTCGTTCGAGCTTGACGAGGATTGGCGGCGGAATGGATGCGGTCTGCTGTCAGGCAAGCAAGAAACGTGTTCGACATCGCTGCCGGACATCTTGCATTCTTTCGACCAACGGTCAGCGTTCGGTTATCCGGACGTTTGCATTCCGCAATTTTTCGGACTGGAAAAATAAAAGAAATAAAAAAAGAAGAGAAGGGAAGCAACTATTTTTCCAGTCGAGATCCCTACCTTTTTTTGCCCAACGGTCGACGATTGGTGGTGATCCTTCCCGTCTGAGGATATTAGTACTGCGATGTGTTGTTCACAGCTGGTAGGCCGCGGGTGAGGTCGCAGATTGACCGGCTGGAGCTACAGAGCAATCGTCCCAGGTGGCGCCCCAGTTCAGCGTCATATTTGAGAGGGAGGATGGAACTTCCAGGCCAACGGGGCGATACTGAGATGCGACCCCGAGACACAAGAGGATGACTGTTCGAATGGAAGCGATGGGTGAGACGCGAGAGGAGAAACGAATGGCGGATAACGAATGCGAAGGGAAACTCCAGAGTCGATGGATGAGCGAAGGAAGGCCAGGCTGCGGTTGGGATGAAAAGACGAGCGAGCAAGATTATTGCCGATAAGTCAGACGCGGAGCTGGGGCTGTTTGCACGGCGTCTAGATTAACGGGGGAGAGTGGTGGTCACAGGCGGGCCGAGAGGGGTTGTTGAGGTCAAAGTGGCAGCGCGAGAACAATAATAATAATAATAATAATAGTATGTGATAAAGTAGTAAGAAGTAGGAAGTAGTAATAATAGAAACAAAAAGTCCCAAGCGACAGGGAAGATTGGTGTAGGACGAGAGGACAGCGATAAGCAAGGTCTATCAACAGTAATGATGATATACCTCAGTATCCTAGGTAATGAGTCAAACTCTCCAAGTCGATCCTATCAGTTCGTTGAACACTAATAAACGGCGGCGATAGATCAAACTGTGAAGTGACAGTGTCTATATCAGTGAATCAAGTCGTCTTTGTCTAGATGGAAATATGCTGAGACGAGAGGGGAACCAATAACTGCATGGAATTTGCTGGGGCTTCAAGCCACATGGAGCAAAGAAGAAGCCTTAAAGAGTGGTAACTTCTAAGGCGTCTCACTTACCTACGGCTACAGATCGAATCTGTGTTTAGTCTGATGCTGGGGGTCGAAACAGGTTCTCGAGGCGCAGAAAGAAAATCTCGGTGATGTCGATTATTATTATTATTGAGTCGCTTCTTTGTGCTAATTTTCTTGAGGATTTACTTATTGAAATATGGGCCACTACGGAGGTTCACTCATTCTGAGGGAACGGTCTAGTTCCTCAGATTTGTTTAGAAGAGTGGTCCTTGTCTCCGTGATCCTTGGTTCTTGAAAGGAAACAAAATAGGAAACGCCTTATTTCTAGTCAGCAAAGCTAGAAAATGATCGCGCGAACAAAGTGGGGTCACTGGGTTGGTAACTTGGTCCATTATTGCCAATAAATAGCCTAGGTATCGTTATACTCTGTAGATTATTCGGTAGATGGGCGATGAAAAATAAGGCACAATGATATCCTTGATAGCCTTCAGAGGTGTCTTCACCTGTGCAGCCTACATGGTACGATAAGTATGAGCATGCGAGTTGATACGATATATCTAGTACTGCTAGTGATCCCGATTCCCGAGGAGAAATCGTCTCAGATCCTGATCGTCCCTGTTAGTGTTGGGCTGCTGGAACTTGGGCGATCCCACTATCTCATACTATTTCGGAGATACTATGGAGGTACTTAATAATACTTAGAGCTTCTGATTCATCTCGTCCACAGGTATTTGTGTGCAGTGCGTCGTCGATGTATCATTATGAGTGTTTCCTGACAAGCTCCACCAATCTCGCTTGCGGCAGTTGCGGGACAGCATTGAGTTGTTAGGTAACTTGTTTGCAACTTTGTATCCTTAAGGAATGGAAAAACTTTGCGCTTTTCTTGCTGTTCCTGGCCAATTGCGACGGATTTGATTTCCAGAAACTTACACACAAGGACCTTGGAAATGGAATGGTCGTTGTGGAAGAAGATAAAATAGCATAGTCATCAGCTTCTAGGATATTGGTTACAGAGGCACCCCTTGGTAGCTGGTACTTAGCACAGAGCGACTCCAGTGTTTCGTCATATTTAGCATCCTGGCCGACCCAGGGAGAAAACTTTGATCTCCATCATCATTTCTCATCTGCATCTGTCAACTGTCAACCACCCCTTGTGTTGTCAATTGTCACCGCCTGTGAAATCAATAGGCCTACGGAGTATAGTGGATAGATACCTTACCTACCTTACCTAGGTCCCATTCCATTGTCGTGTAACATCCTTACTGGACAATTCTCAATGATCATTTGCTTGCTTCGTTGTACATGACTACCTTATCTGGTTGCTTTTCTCCTTTCTCTCTTTTCTAAATTACACCGCTTGCTCTGTCATCTCAACACGAATCGGTAAATAACAATGCCCTTGCAGCTGACAATGTGGCTGGTTTTGTCCCCCACTGCGTAAGCCTCCAACGTTATCAGCATTCAGGATTCAGGTACAGACTGTCTGTCACTTCCACTGTGTCCAGGGGCCGTCGTCCGTACCAGGGTTTCATTATCGTCCTTGAAAAAATCAGTAGCAAATTATGAGGGCCAGATGGATGGAGAGTGGAGACGCAATTATTTACGATCATCCTAATCCGAGAATCGGTTAGCGCTACGAGTCTGCGACTTTTCTAGACCACCATCGTTCCAAGGATCTGGCTCGATTCTCCATCCTTGTCTGTGCGAGACTGCGAAAACAGTGCGATGGTTGCAAATGATGATCTCACCCTGAGATGCAATAATTAGTCACTTGCTTGTACGTAGTTACTCCGTCTTGCGCTGTCATCTTTGGTTTATTGTAGCGATGCAATCATTATCTCTATCTGGTTGGCTGTTCTCATGGAATTAAGCATGAAATACAGCAAAGTAACTTATATACAAGCTGTGATGTATCACATCCACATCCCAGGCTGAACCTGCAGAACTCAGCACCACCATCAAGCGCAATAAGCATCTACACTGGATTATGGAGAAAGAAATGACCTTGCTACATCTTCTGACCTACGCTGTAGCCTATATAGCCAGTAGATACACTGTACCGTCAACAAGAAGAATATATCTATATCTAACTTCCCGTCGGGCCGCCGGATGTTGCATTCTGCATCCGCTCTTCAGGCTGTTTTTGACTTTGTGTGATTCATGTCTAGGTCAATTGCCCAACCCGTGCAAAACGACTGGTGCGATGCAACAAACCTCAAATCTCGCCTCAAACTCAAAGTCTGTCAGGCGACTGAGGCGAGTTCCTCTTTCAGTGGAGATTATCCCGTACAAACTAGTATCAGAATCAGATGCCGTCGTGTCTCATCCCCAAACCGCCCAAAGGTAATTTCGCCCCGGATGGAAATATTCCTCCGTATGTAACTGTATCGACTTGGATCCTGATGAGTATCTATTTTGAGAGGCATTGCATTTCACTCATCTTCGCTTTCTCTTCATTCTGCGAAAGAACCATGATTGATCGAGTACATATCACCTGACGTAGGCATTGTCTTTCTGTAGGTCGCGTCTCCGTACTGAACGCGTTTCCGGTCGCGTCTCCCGAATTCAACCAACCACTGTAGATGGCTATGATGTTATTCCATCCACAATGGCACTGTAGATTATCTATCTGAGAGCTACTATGGGTAAAAAAAGAAAAAGGACCATCAGAGATGGCTGTGCAGCCGACGACTCGGCGCAGAAACGCATCATCACCGCCTCCAGCGGTTCCAGAAATCACGGTGGTTCCGTCAGGAACGAGAAAGATGGACATTCTCATCCAGTCATCTCCCTGTACTACCGCCACGTCGTGACGCTGAGGCAGTATCTCCTACAACAGATCCCCATAACGTCCAAATCCCGCCGGAGGAGGGTCGCGTCGGTACGGAGTGACGCGCTCACTGAACGCCAGGGAGATGGGAGCTCCGGAGAACGGCAGGTCCAAGATCTTGCCTGCGTTCTCGATACCACGCTTGTAGGAGTGTTGAAGGAATCCTCGCCCACAGTGACTCAGGAGCGACGACGAGACTTTGCCGCTTATTCCCAATCCCAATCTCAATGCAGGTCGGAGCTCACCAGTACGGATACTGGGCCACCATGTCCACAGTCAGAGGTAAGCTATGATGGACGATCGTGTTTCCTTTAAAGATGTCGGTATAGCTTCTGGGGCATCCAGCACGTGTGGAGCAATCGACGATGGCTGTCTCTTCATAGCGTAGATGCTGACTATAGTGCAGATTGTTGACTTTGTCATATCCTCACTCTTCAATCGCAATGGCTTCTCGTATCAGAGACCTCAACACTTGTTGGCTCATGGCTTTCAGCGTGCAGGTGGACTAGATCAGATGACGGACAACCATGCTGCCCTCGCAAGCAGTATCCCGGGTCTTGTTGTGCGATATCCCAACAGGAATGTCGAGACGCTAAAACAGGCGCCGTGGACGAACGTTCTTGCTCTCCTGGGAGGCAATGGAGAAGAGATCATGCTGAGACTCTTGCTCGATTGCGGTATATTTACAGCTATTGACCATCGGAAAGGAATATATTACCAGATTAGTGGTGAGTTCTGCCAGCGGGCCATACATTTGGAAGAAACACTCAAAGATGAGAACAGGTCTTCCGCTATCGAGCCTGGAACCAGTCAAGAGGGAGCTGCCTCAGGAAGTTTCGAATCCCAGCAGAGCTTCCACTCATACAGCGAACAACACTGGCGGAATTGGTTCTGGCCTCCAAGAAAGGAAGGGTGTGCACCAAGAGGTTGTACACAAGCCGAATAGTATTGTCTTCTTCCGACGACGCATGCTCTATGCGAAACCAGTGCTCAACTCGAAAGGCGACGTCCATTTTGGCTTGACACATCTTCGTAGGTGCTAGAGATGCTTATTCTCTTCCGAAGCTAACGAGGCTAAGACGTTTTTAACCGTTGCGCTCGATCGGACTCGTTGTCTCAGACGGTGCACATACTGAAGTACATCTTCCCTAGACAATTCGGTCTGCATAACGTTTTCACGTCTGTCACTGATAGCCGCGAAACCGTCTTGCCCTTCAAAGACTACTTCTCCAGGGAGAACGAGATAGCGGAAATTGACGAACAGAGACGCAAGCGCCGCCAACGCATTGGTCCTGGGTTCACGAATCATTTTGAAAAGCAGAATGATTTTGTCGAAATACCGAAACGGCTTCGCGGAAAGGCTACTGAATTGGTGCAACAGCTGCAGAATCGAAACCGGCGTTGTCCATACGTGAAACTCTTGAACTACTACTGTCCGACAGAGGTATGTCAATATTTCCACAAAGCAGGGGCATGTGTTGATAGCTCAGGATGTCGGGCCTTGGAAACTCGGTCCTACCAATTCTCAAGAAGGGTTGACGGGCAAGGAATCTCGTACGGCGTCGGAGCATCTGATAACTCAACCACGAGACCCTCAGCAACATTCAGCTAGAGATATGGTCCCCGTAGAAAGCCCAGCGACGAGGAATCCTGCGATCTACGACACAGAGAAAGGGACTGCCAAGTCCAGAGTTCCAGAACCGAGAGAGAGTCTGATGGACTATGCAACGCCTTCTTCGTCGGTTTCTGCCTTCTGCCGGGCAGTACTGCGAAAGTTGATCCCTCCGCACTTTTATGGAGTTGGTCAACATCAGAAAAGCAACCAAGAGATTGTATTTAGCCATGTCGATAGGTTCATTCGCATGCGAAGATTTGAAAGTTTGAGTCTTCACGAGGTTTGCAAAGGACTCAAGGTTTGTCTACCCTCGACCTCAAATGTTGTTTCGAAAGGCTTCTGACATGATTTAGATCACGAGTATACCATGGCTTGAGTCTCCAGCTAACCAGCATCAAGAGTCTCTTTCGGGAAGAAAACTTTCATTATCCGACCTGCAAAAACGGACGGAGCTTCTTCACGAGTTGATCTACTACATATTCGATTCCGTCTTGATACCTTTGATTCGTTCCAACTTCTATGTCACCGAATCACAAATATATCGCAACCAGCTGTTCTACTTTCGACATGACGTGTGGCGCCGCTTAACTCTACAGCCACTGGCAACTTTCAAGACGACTCTTTTCGAAGAGATGAAACGAGGCGATGCGGAGCGTAGGCTGAGTGGAAGGTCCCTGGGATATAGCTCTCTACGACTTTTGCCAAAGATGACAGGCGTCCGGCCGATTTTGAATCTTCGACGACGAATGCTCCAGCCAGGATGGGCTGGGAAGGCTCCGTTCCTGGGCCCGAGCATCAACTCCACCATCACCCCCATATTCAACGTCTTGAACTACGAGAAGACACGTAACCCTGCGAGTCTGGGCTCGACCCTGTCGTTTGTCGGCGAAATGCACACTCGTCTCAAAAGCTTCAAGGAACGCCTGCCTCGGAGTCAGTCGAGTGCTCAGCGGCAACCGCTTTACTTCGTCAAGCTCGACATTCAGTCTTGCTTTGACACTATTCCTCAAGAAGAACTTATTCCTCTGATTGAAAGCCTGGTTTCTGAAGAAGGCTATCACATCGCGAAACATGTGGAAGTTCGGCCGCCAGATGAGTTCAGCAGCATGTGGCCGGTTCAAGAGTCCCATCAGAGCAAGGCTCTACGCAAATACGTTGGCAGAGCAGCGCCCGTGTCGAAACCGCAACATCTGACCGAAGCCATTACTGATGGTGGCATCAGCCACAGGAGAAACACAGTCTTCGTTGATACACTAGCCCACAAGGAGTATTCCGGCGACCATCTACTGGACCTACTTGATGAGCACATTCGGTATAACTTGGTGAAGGTTGGGAGGAAGTATTTCCGCCAACGGAACGGTATCCCTCAGGGCTCGATACTATCTAGTGTTCTGTGCAACTTGTTCTATGCACAAATGGAGCGGGAATCTCTAGGTTTTCTCAATCCCAACGAAGCCGTTCTTCTCCGATTAGTGGACGACTTTCTTCTTATCACGACCAACTCGAGCTTGGCGATGCGCTTTCTGCAGGTGATGCTCAAGGGACAACCCAAGTACGGCATCTCCATCAATCCAGCCAAGAGCCTTGTCAATTTCTCAGCAGCGGTGGACGGGGTACAGATTCCTCGGCTGGAGGGCAGTCACTTGTTCCCTTACTGTGGAAGTCTGATCGACACCCGAACGTTGGAGATATACAGGGACCAAGACCGAATCCTCGAGGGGACAGACTCGGCCGCTGCCACTATCTCCAGCTCGCTCACAGTGGAGTCAACCCGAGCCCCCGGCCGTTCTCTTCACCGGAAAGTACTCTCGTCGTTCAAGCTACAGATGCATCCGATGTACCTAGATACGAAGCACAACTCGCTCAACGTGGTGCTTTGGAATCTGTACGCGAACTTGGTGACCTCGGCGATGAAGATGTACCGATACATGAAGGCCCTACCTCGACGAGCACATCCCACCCCAGACGTGGTAATCCGAGTCATCCAGGATCTGATAGAACTCGCTCATCGCATGATGCGCGCCCGCCGGGAGCTCAAGTCGAGGGATCCTTGTTCGCCATATATGTGCCTCGTGCAGCAGCAACAGGTCCAGTACCTCGCCACAGCGGCATTCCGGTTTGTCCTGGGCCGGAAACAGACCAAGTACGCAAAGGTACTGCGGTGGTTGGAGCAGGTGTGGAAAGCGGCGCGGCCGCAATCTGATGGAAAGGCAGCTCGGCTGGCTCAGGTTGTTCGGAATGGCAACTCGGTTTTTGCCAGTTGGCGGTTTTGAGTCTGCTGACTGTTTTCCCTTGATTAATGACTCTGGAGGTCATTATTGGGGTTCCCCTTGCTGGTCCTCGGTAAGTCGGGGATACCCTGTGGATGCTGAATGCAACACTAGATAGTTCGAGGGGAATGATGTAATCCACAAGCAAAAGTGTAAATTGACCTCATTATTATTATTCGACACGGGAAACAAGGGCAAAAATCAGGAAATAGTGTCAATTGGGTTTGGAACACATACCTTAGTAACTTTGCCCGGAGTACGGATTAGTGGCGGACTACAACTAGTCTACTGTACTGCATGCTGGTGGCATTGGTTTGCTTTGTCCAATCTCAACAAATGAACAGCGGGGATAGCGTATATACAGTGCCTTGGTTCTCTCCCCAATTACTCCATGGTTCGTTCCAGGCTCACATACCACGGAAAACCTGAAGTGGGATGGGAATCGTGGGACGTGACTGGGTCAAGGCAGTAGAAAAAAGGGGGCGGCAAATCAGGCACTTCCAGGTACTCCTGAGAGGTATGTTGTGGTCGCTGAGAAGAGGAAAATGTCAACAAGCAGAAGGAGACTCTCTTATCTAACTTACACTTTACAGAGATAGAGACTTGAAGCGTTGTAGGCCTTGGTGATGGCATCGTCAGCCACGGATCCAAGATCTATTAGCGCCACTGGTTCTTGTTCTTCACCTAGTATTGGGAATTGGGATGAGTGCGTGTGCATATCACCGTTTCGCCGTTTTCTAGTCTTCTTAGTACTAGTTTAGTCCAATATCACTGAAAGCATAAAGTGTCTTCCCAAACAGACAAGGATCAACAAATTAGTAGGTTATTGCCAATCTTTCTTGCTTCCTGCGATTGGCCAGACCCGAATCCAAGATTTCCTAGTGTCATGAATGTCGGCCTCAGGCAGTCCGTTTGCGGTACTTGCTGCAAGGCTAGACTACTACTGTTTCCGCTTCTCCCCTAAGAAAGAAGAGGATCTCCCTCATTTCCCACCACGTCCATCCCCATCCCCTCTCATCCCATCATCATCATCATCATATCATAGCATCTCTTAGCATCAGTCTTTCCTTTCTTTTCTTTTCTTTTCCTTCTCTTCTCTTTTTCCTGTCTCCGTCCTTCGCTAGAATTACCTTCTCCCTCGTTATACCTCCTTTCTTTCTGGTCTTCTCATCGGAATACTCACCTCTCGTTCAGCTTATCCTCCTGCCAAATACCATCCCCTCCCGTGGACAATTCTTGATCCCCTTGTTGAATTGCTCCCCCTTCTCTGAACGGTGCCCTTGTTCCCCAGATATTGCTGTCGTTCTAGAATCACTACCGGCTGGGCTTGTTTCATGAGTAACTGCGGAACCAGGGGATATAATTCAACGCCGATAGTCCTCTCCGGTCGTTCCTTTTTTTTTTGGCTTCATTTTTATTCGCTTGGGCCGGTCACCACTTTCGTACGCGACAATTCCTTTCTTTCGTTTGATTTGCATCTTGCGTTCGAACTAGCTCTTGCTACGCCAATACATCGATTCCGTATATGAGATGACGACCATATGCACGACACCCAATTCCCCACCCGAACTATCGGGATCCAAGTCCTCTAAATCTTCCTCCTTCCGGTCCTCTTCTCAGCTGTCCGGTCCCGACGGTATCCTCGCCGACATTTCCAATTTCGAAGAAATTGGCCTGGAGGATGACCCGGAGTTGCGCTACATGGATGGTGTTACTACTGCTTATGGCAAGTCGGGGGTCCTGGCTCGCTCCTCGACAGCCAGGTTGCAGACCAAAACTCCGCTGACTACGACTCGCGACTTGACGTCGACGGTCAAACCCACCAGAACTTCTTACCCATCGCTGAAGGGCCAGGTCAATGGGGCATTGGCGCAGCCGAAGCGCAGCAGCTCCAAGCTCAGGTCAGGCAATCAAAGGAGTGCGACCAGTCCTCAGACGCTACCGATTCAATCTTCCAGACCCCATCGTTCCAGATCCAATTCACCGCTCCGAATGGCGTCCACTCTGAGTTCATCTCCCTCCGCTCAGACCTTGGCTGTTTCGCCTGTCAGTGGCCGACCCCCACTCAATCGTAAGAGCTCGTGGCAGCGAAGCCGCAAATCTCTTAAAGAGCTAGAGGAGGAATACCATGACTCGGATGAGGAGCTGCCAGATGATACAAGCTTGTGGAATGTGCCTATCTCCCCCCGGCCGATGCAGGATCGCGCCCCGTCCCGAGGTACCAGTCCGGATGGCCGAAGTCCAGGCCCGCGCCCGCTTCCATTGTCGCATTCTGTCTCGGACATGTCTGTTTTGTCTCCCACGGGCGCGAAATCCCCCCGGGCATCTCGGTCGAGCCGGCAGTTGGTGCGCTCGAGCTCCGCTGGTCCTGAGCGAGGACAGATCTCGCCTCGCAATCCACGCGTCTACTCGTACAACAACATGTTGTCAGATCTGTCGGAGGAGGCGAAGATCATCACTCAAGCTCTGGAATATCATGCAGATGAGCGCGAGCGCAAACGTGCAGAGAACCTTCAGAACGGCATCTCCTCCCTACGGTCCAGCACCGAATCGAAACGCGATTCCAAAGCGACCATTGAACTTCCTCCTCTGCAAAAGTCCAATATCATGATCGATCCGTTGCCCATCAGCAAGGAGAAGGAAAAGGTCCTTACGCGTACGCGGCCTAGCTGGCTTCCCCCCAAGGACCAGAAGGAAGAGAAGAGGCATTTGAAGGAATACAAGAGAATGATGGCAATGTCGCGCGAAGCAGGTTCGTCCCTTTCTTCATTTTCAGCGTTCAACGGCCTTGTGATTAACGCCCTCTAGACAAGCGCAGAGCTGCCAAAGCCGCTTCGGCCAAATGCGAAAAAGATAATACGCGGGAAGCCCTCCAGCGTATCTGGGATGAGTACGTGTTCCCCAACTGGGATCATGCTATTGGTGAAACCCGTACGCGGGAGTTGTGGTGGCGCGGTGTGCCGCCCCGTCATCGGGGTGCGACCTGGCAGCGCGCTATCGGCAATGAACTATCCCTATCCGAAGAAACGTACAAGAAGGCATTGCAAAGGGCCAAAGACGTTCGCTCCAGGTCCGACGGTGAGTCGGGCGAAAGTAACAAGCGGATGAGGGAATGGTTCGATACAATTGAGGCGGACGTGTCGAAAGCGTTTCCGGACCTGAAACTCTTCCAGGTGGGCGGCCCACTGCGCGATACATTGATTGATGTGCTTGAGGCATACTCGATGTATCGAAGCGACGTAGGATACGTCAGTGGTCTTCATGTAAGCTGACCCATCCGGAGCCTTGATCTGGTTTCATTCCTAATGTTGGTACAGACGATCGCCGCTCTTCTGGTTCTCCAGTTCCCATCGCCATCTTCCGCATTCCTTGCCATGGCCAATGCACTGAACCGGCCTCTTCCTGTCGCGTTTCTCACGCTGGACCGCGGGGCCATCGGTCGTACGTATGCATTGGCGTCTGCGACGCTCCGCTACAAGTTCCCTCGCCTGGCGACTCATCTTTACGAGACTCTGCGTCTCAGCGACGAGGAAATCTGGGAACCGATGTTCCGCTCTCTCCTGACGAACGGGCTAGATCTGGAGCGCGTGAGTCGCGTCTGGGACTGCTGGGTGTTTGAGGGAGATCGTATTCTAATTCGCGCCGCGGTCGCGATTCTCGGCTGCTTGCAGCCGCAATTGTTTGCATTTACGCAGCCGGACGACCAGGGTCGTGCCGCTGTGAAGGACATTCTCGGATGGGGCCCTCACCACCCCGGAAGCAACAAACCTGCTACCCGTCACAGCGCTCCGGCCGCCCCTACGACTGGTTTCGGTGGTGCTCAATCCATCAATACCGTGGCTGGTGATTACTGGATACTCACCACCGCAGGGGACGAAGATGGGTTCATGAACGAGGTCAGAGAGGCGGGTAAAGTGCGGGATTAAGCCGAGCTGTCGATGGTCAAGACTGAGACTATGACCTGATGTTGATTTGGCCTAGCAGTTGGTCGACTCCTGTATCAACAGTGTCTTTCGTTCCACAGCTTTTTTGTGTGTTTCTTGTTCTTCTCTTCTCCTTCGTTGGATATATTCACCCGGTGGTTCTGGTAAACCACAACTTAATCTTAGTTTCTCTTCTCGTGGCCAGCATGTTGGCCGTGTCTTGGTGTTGCTTCTCTTTGATGGTCTTAGAGTAGTTAGCTAGGTAGCAGCGACAGCAGTTGGCAAATGAGTAGTTGCACTTGAGTGTGGCTATGCATCGCAGTGATGACAAGCTTTACTTGTGCAACGTTTTTAGTGTACTTGAATGTACTTGTCTCCCGGTCAATACTGCACTTCTATGGAATGGAGTCCTCTTTGTATGATTTGATTTCAGAAAGGGAAACAAGTCTATAAAATCATTGGTCTTCATAAAGGCACCAGGCCTCCACATGTCTTAGCATATATAAAGGACCTTTGTTTCTAAATATTGTCAAATCACCACGAAATCTTAGCGACAATGCCCCTCGGAAACGCCCTAACAAGCACCTTCCTCAACTCATCCAGGAACAGAATCCCCAGCGCCAACGGCAACGGGATGAACCAGAACTCAATCGGCACCGGCGCCGTGTTGAACAGGGTATGGAAGCCCGGGACCTCGGTGACGAAGATGGCGATGGCGAGGGAGACGAGCATGGCGAGGGCGAGCCAGGGGTTGCGGCGCTGTTTGCGGACGGGGTCGGCGGTGAGGATGGAGAGGCGCTTGTTGCGGACGGAGAGGATGTTGCCCCATTGGAGCATGACGAGGGTGACGAAGTAGACGCCCTGGCCGACGTTGTTGAAGTTGGTGAGTTCTTCGGCTGAGTACCCGTAGAAGCCGTCGGAGTACGATTCAAAGGCGAAGACGAGGGCGTGGAAGGGGATGCCTGCCTTCTTGTACATGTACAGGAAGAACATGGAGTGGGCAATGATGGTTTCCATGACGCCGATGAAGAGATAGGATTGGCCGTATATCTTGAGGTTGATGAGGTGGTCTTTCTTGTGGTTGCGTGGCGGGAGGCTGAGCAGGTCGAACTCTTCCTTCTCCATGATGAGCGAGAGGGAGAGGAAGAGGTCGGTGAAGACGCAGATGATGATCATGAGGAAGGAGCTGAGCGGGAGTGGGACCCCGAAGAAGACGTTCATCAGCACCGGCCAGATCTCGGACCAGCTGCCGGCGGGGAGCAGGTACGCGATGACCTTTTGCAGGTTCTGGAAGACCAGGCGGCCGAGGCGGATCGCGTCGACGATGGAGTCGAATTTGTCCATCAGGACCAGGTCTGCCGCCTCGATGGCGACGTCGCTGCCGGAGACGACGGCGATGCCTACGTCGGCGGTGCGCAGCGCGGGGGCGTCGTTCACGCCGTCACCGGTCACAGCGACGACGTTGTCGCGCGCCTTCAACTCCTCGACGATGCGGTACTTTTGTTCGGGCGAGGTGCGAGCGAAGACGATCTCCTCGTATTGGCACACGGCGTCCCACTGTTCTTCGTTGAGAGAGGATATGTGTGGACCGTCGATGAGGAGACTGCGTCGAGAACGGAGAGACTGCTTCTCGTTTTCTTCGTCGCTGGTGAATGGCCGCAGGCAATCGACCGTGTCTGGCTCCGCAGTACCGCTGAAGATGCCCACGTCCCGGGCAATAGCAGCAGCGGTCAGGCCAAAGTCACCCGTCACCATGAAGAAGCGGATGCCTGCACGACGGCAGGCCGCAATGGTCCGCGCAGTCTCGGGACGTGGCAGATCGACGATGCCAAAGATTCCGATCACCGTCAGGTCACGGACACCCTGGGCCAGGATCTCATCGTTGAAGTCGTTTGATCCCACCGCGGCCCTCGGGCTGTAGTACCGTTGGCAGAGCACAATGACACGCTCTGCGCGCTTTGACAGGGACGCTTGGAAATCTGAGAACATTCTCCGGCCGTTCTGGTCCATGGGCTTGACTTTGCTATCAATGCCGGAGTAGTAGGATGTGCACCGTGGAAGAAGAACATCTGGTGCGCCCTTCACATAGGTGAGATAGCTGCTGCTGCTCTGGGGGTTCTTGTGCATGGTAAGCATCCACTTGTTCTTCGAGTTGAAAGGAATCTGGTGGATTCTTTCGTACTGGGCATACTGAGAAAGACCGTTGGGCTGGGCGAGCTCGGCGAACCGTAGGACGGCAGCATCGGTCGCATTGCCCGTCACCTCTCGGTCATCCACTGGCAGTCCGATGGTTGCCGGATCAAAAGAGGCATCATTGCACAGGAACGAGCCTCGAAGAAGGATGTTCAGCGCCTCTGGCAACTCGGTCGAGCCTCGCTGATCTCCAAGCAGCTGATCTACGTTGAGCTCTTGATCGATCAGGCCGAGTGACCTAACAAACATCTTGTTCTGGGTCAATGTCCCCGTCTTGTCTGAGCAGATGACGTTGACGCAACCCAGGGTCTCTACCGTCGCAAGTCCCTTCGGCAGGATACTGTTCTTCTTCATCCGCTTGGCTACCATCATCAGAGTGAGTGCAACTCCAACAGGCATACCTTCAGGGATAAACGCAACGACGCAGCCCATCACGTTGTTCAGCATCGCGACCACGTTCATGAACTGGTAGTGATCCACACGCAACCATCCAACCCAGGCGAAGAGGATGATCAGAACCAGTGTGATGGTCAGGCAGATGATGATGGTCACAAAACGACTGATCTCTTTTTGTATCAACGTCGGCTTCTCCTTGACGCCGGTGGTCATTTTGGCGATGCGACCCATGACAGACCGACTGCCGGTCAGCACCACTACACCGACCGCATTGCCATTGGTGACGCTTGTCCCCATGAAAGCGATATTACGGGTTTCCAAGAAGTTGTCGTCCGTCACATCGATGGCACCTTCGATCTCGTCAGACTCTCCTGTGAGAATAGCACGGTCGAAGCGGACGTCTCCAGATGTCTGGAAGAGACGCATGTCCGCGGGGACTTTATTGCCGATGGAAACATGGACGATGTCGCCGGCAACAAGGTCTGTAGATGGCACGCGGATTTGCTTCCCGTCTCGCACAACAAGGGCTTCAGATGGGAGCAGGTTGAGGATCGAGTTCATGACATGTTTCGTTGACCAGTCTTGAAATGCAGAGAAGCTTGCTTGCAGGAAGATCACGATGAGAACGAGGATGGCCATGGCAAGATTCGAGACTGACGGTGGGTTGCTGAGGGGTTTCCAACAAATGAAGAAGATGATGACACCGATCCACAGGACTGAGCAGAAGCCGCCAAAGACATAGAAAAAAATTTTCTTGAGGTAGTTCTCGTTATGATGAGCGATGAGATTCTTCCCATCCCGCTGCAGTCGAGAGGCGGCGGCAGACGAACTGAGACCGGACCGGGGTTCCACGTTGAGTTGCTGGAAGAGTCTGTCGGGCTGTAGGATGTGATAGTCCAAGCTTTCAAAATAATCTTGATCGGGCTTATCTTCCTTGGCCTGCCTTGCTTTGATGGCCTCTTCCGTAGCGTTCTGGGACTCGGAGATCTGATACGAGAGGGTCCTGAACTCGATAGGAATCCCAGCTGTCTTGTTGCTCTGGGCGGCATCGTGAGAGCTCCGAATGGTGTCTCGACTCAAAGAACGATGGCGACTGAGTCGAGAGTGGTAGATTCCTCCACTTCCTTCATCCGGCGATGCTGCTTCATCGAATTGAACGCGGGTTGTACGATCCGTTCGATCACCGGGGGACTCATTGGGGTGATCAAGTCCCAGCTCGAGGTCCTTTCTTAAAGGTTCGGAGGAAGCAGGAGACTGGGCCATGTGAAGAGCAGCGATTCCGGGAGTGTATGAGACCGGACACGCTGTCTAATGGCGGAGGCACTGGGAGATACCGGACAATGGAGGGTAGGTGAAAAGAATGGAGGCGGCCATGGAGCAGGCATGATGGCTGTCTTATATGCGAGAAACCACTAGATCTACTAACCTAGAAGGGATAAAAGAACACGAATGGGTAACATCAGATACTACGATGCGAGATTTTGATCGATTGGAGGGAGCCATGACAAACGATCTCGGTCACCGCAGACACTAGACTGTCTGCCTGGTGGATAGAACTGTGGAGGCGAGAAGAAATTATGAGATCAGAAGGGAAGTACGAGATGAGTAAGATGACAGGATGGACCATGAAAAAGACAGAAAAAGGCAAGGCATAGAGAGACGATGAGGACGTCGACGGGAGTGCAAAGACGACGACACTGGCCGAGCGAGTATGCTCAGCATCCAAGGTATCCTATACCGTAACTGAACCATAGCTGAGATGGTTTCAAGGTCGATGACATGCATTCTGGTATCGATGAATAGAACCAAATCCCTCGTAGAAAGACTGGAATGGGGATGGGGATGGAAACGGCCGACGGTGAGACACAGAGAGAGTGATTGATGGTAGGAGTGAGGGAATTTTCCCTCCTATAGAAAATGCACCACCCTCACGTGCATCCTATGAGCAGATAACCAGAGCTCGACGGATTCAGGATAGCAATTTGAGAACGAGTGCCCTGCTCTCCATCAGTCCAAAGAGTTTTTCTGGCCAGGATTAATCCCTCAGTATGGTAGCCTCCACTTCTCAAGCCACCTGCCATCTTGAGGTGCTCGAATTAAGCTCAATGCGTGCGCTAACAGGAGTGTGGCACTGACATCGGAAATTTCCTCTAGATAGACAGATTTCATGAGAAGAAGCGAGAAAGTGAATTGCAGTTGTCGCTTTTCTCTTTCGTCCAGAAAATCCCTCAGCGAGACACTAACCAACTCCGCCGCCACATTCTCTGTCCATGAGTCTTTTGTTTGAGCAAATCGCAGATTGAAACAGTACGTAAAGTGAATCCTTTCACTTAGATGAGATCTTTGGACTGACCCTTGAGCAGCCATGTGCTGATTGCGACTATTCCACCATGGCTCATTCAACCCCTTTTTGGCCTCTGCCTGTCAAGCAGACAAAGAGACGGATTCGATAGCTCCTGTCCCCAGGGCTCAGTTTATTGCTGCCTGTAACGGGCCAGCTGACGGGACTCGGAAATGACACTAGCTCGTCTTCAGACTGTCAAGACTCAAGACAGATAAACGATGGCCGGACCAGACGCTCAATGGGGCATCAAGCTGTTATTATACCTCGTACTTGACAGCCAAGATAAGAACGAAGCTAGGTAGTACTATCATGCAGCAAGCAACTCATATTTGAGAGTCGCACAGAGCGTGCAAGATCACCATGCCTTGCAGAGAGGCAAAGCTTGGGCGTTGAGCGATTTCATCGGTTCATGGTCTGCCAATGAATCTGCGGGTGTATATATTCAAGCCACGTCAACGATCTACCGGATCTGTGAGCATATGATCTGCCATTTTGAGCTATCTGAGGCATTTTCCCGTGGAAAACTGCTGTACAACAGTCGATGCTACAGATACGCCCCTGCCTTCATTCTCCCGCTTATCCTCATCCCTTGATTGGACTCCTCTAGAACGCTCATCTTGATGGATAGCACTGCTATTCCTCTCTTCTGAGTTATAAATACAAGCTTCTTCGAAGGTATCACGATGTGTTGAGATCCGGTTTATACACTCAGTAAACAGTCATGTCTCTCATATCCAAGGTGAACACCAGCCACGGCCATCACGAACATCACCAGCATGACCTGGTATCCCAAGAACCCAGGGAGACCTACAATCCTTTCCAAGCGTTGAAACTCTTCAACATACTTATACGCTGTTGGACGCCCAAGAACTCCTGCAAACCGGAACAACGACCACTACTGCTCTCCTCCTCCTCCACCTACTCCAGCATCTCTCCATCCTCATCACCATCACCACCACCACCCTCCTCCCTGACACAAAAGTACGGCACCTGCACCGAGATCCTTCACTACGGCTCATTCAGCTCCGTGCGCCTGTACGCCCACCGACCCATCTCCAGTCCTACATCCCCAAAACAACTCCATGTCGTCAAGGTCTTCCGCCGCTCCTCCAGTCCAACCATCGCAACCCACCACCGCTTCGAACAATCCCTCTCCTCCGCCCTCTCCCACCCGAACATCCTCCGCACCATCGACACCCTCCTCAACGACCGCGGCGAGCTCTGCCTGGTAACGGAGTACTGCGCCGCCGGCGATCTGTGCACCCTCATCGCGACAGCGGGGGCCACGCTCGCGCTCCTCGAGATAAGCTGCTTCTTCAAACAGATCATGCGGGCCATCGCCTACCTACATGGCCACGGCCTTGCACACCGCGATATCAAACCCGAGAATATCCTCCTCACCGTCAACGGGGCGGTGAAGTTGGCGGACTTTGGGAGTGCGGTGTGCCTGCCCCCTGGTGATCCCTCCGACTCAGATTCCGAGATTGGGGATGAGGTTGGGTCTGCCGGTTCGGTGGCCTACTCCCCGCCCCGGAAACTCCTCGGGACGATACCCTACATTGCGCCGGAGGAGCTGTGCGAGGGCAAGCCGTTCGACCCGCGGGCTGGCGATGTCTGGGCTGCTGGGCTGGTGTATATGGCTATGCGGTGTAGGCGGCTGCTGTGGCGGATGGCGAGCGAGGAGGAGGATGGGCGGTACCGGGAGTATCTTGTTGGGCGGAAGGGGGAGGAAGGGTATGCGCCTATTGAAAGGCTGGGAGAGGTAGGTGCCAGCTTGAAAAAAATCTGCGATCGATAGCAGACGCTGATTGAGCGATAGAAGCGCTGTCGCAATGTGGTGTACGCGATGCTGGATCCGAACCCGAGGCGGCGCATCACGGCGTCGCAGGTGCTCAGGTCTGAGTGGATGTATGGGGTGAGTGTTTGTTGTGCTGGAGAGATGGGGGTGTAACAGTCATGGCTGGTCCAGACACTGATTAAGGGCATGTGATGATGGATGTATTCTGTGTGATTAACGAACCATGGGCTATGCTACATGTTAATTCCATTCTCAACATCAAAAGTCATTAGACACTGCCTGCAGCCAACACGTACCCCCCATCCACCACGATCGTCTGCCCATTGAGATATTGGTTTGTCGCCGTGAAGAGCACCGCACTCGCCATATCCTCGTCCTTGCCCGGCCGGCCAGCCGGCACCTTCTGCTCATACTTCTCCTTGGGGATAAAGCTCTTCTGCTTCTCATCGCTCTCTCCCGCCGTCATCTCACTGGGGAACACACCCGGGGCGATATTATTCACCCGGATCTTCAGCTTGGACGAACTGATCTCATGCGCCAGCATCTTGGTCAGATGGATCGCCGCCGCCTTGGACGCGTTATACGCAAAATGATGCTGCGAGACTTTCACGATCCCCGAGATCGACGAGATGTTGATCACCGTGCTGGACCAGCCGTGCTCCTGCTCCGACCCCTTGGCCAGCAGCGGCAGGAACGCCGTGGTGGTGAAGAACAGCTGCGTCACGTTCGTCCGGAACACGCTCTCCCATTCCTCCGGCTTGGAGGCCGGGTCGTCGAACAGGCTCTTCCGCAGCTCGGTCGGCTCTTCGTGCTCCACTGTCTGCGAGTGGCTTGAGATTCCGGCGTTGTTGATCAAGATGGATAGATGCTTCTCGCGCGAGGAGATCTCTCGGACGAGCTTCTCAATCGACTGCTTGTCTGTGACGTCGGCTGTGATGGCGATGATCTCTCCGGGGATGTTCTGTCCGTACAGCTCAACGACGCGGTCCAGCTTCTCCCCTGTGCGTCCGGTGATGTAGACTTTGGCGCCGTTGACAGCCAGCGCTTGTGTGGCCATCAGACCGATGCCGGAGCCTCCGCCGGTGATCAGGGCCACTGTATCGGTTAGTATCTTGGTATTGAGGACAATTGAAGGTCTGCATACCCTTTCCCTTGACATTGAAGAGATTGTCGAGCTTGAAGGTCTGGTTACTACTCTGGGCCTCCATTTTGACTGCTTCGGAAACAGATCTATCTGATGTAGCGGTGAAAGGTCTGAATGTAGATGGAGAGAATTGTCTAGGATAATTTTGTAACGAAGACAAGCAGCTTTTATTATATACAGCCCGGTGGTAGATTCGTGGTGGAAGCATCTGTCCAGAGACAGCTCGCAGGGGAGCAATTTGGCGCATCATCATCGCAACGGTTGGCCCTCTGCAAAGGTAAAACAGGATTTCTAGAGTGTATATAGGGCATTTCTCTCATCTGGATCGTCATGAATCTAGAAGAATTCCAGATGAATGATTCTGGCAAGATTCGCGAGTGTCCAGACAGGATTCACCCACTGTGTTGTGGGGGTTCATCAGCATGACGTCGATCCAAGGGAAGAAGTGAAGTACGTCGGTAGAGGAGATGATGTCGGTGACCACACCGGATGATTCTGATCTTCTTCATAGGTTGAACTTGATTCTTGAATTATTAGATAGTTCTTGCGGTTGGCAGTACAAGATTCTGTTGCCATCGTCATGTGTACCTGATCTACCTTGGTCAACAATATCAACGCAAGATTCCAATACAAAGATGCACAAGCTCTTTTCATAGTCTCCTTCATAAATTCTCAAGTTAATGGTTGTTTTTGGCCAGCTATCTGACAATATCCACACTATAGAATGTTTTGCAGCAAGCATTCACATTAAGCGATATATACAAAATCTTACAGCTTGGCCTTGGCTCCAATAGCCTCACTAGCAGGTGCCACCTCGACCATCATCTTGCCGGTATTGGCGCCTTCGTAAAGGTTCACCAGACCCTGAGGCGCCGCTTCCAATCCACCCCGGATGATATGCTCCTTGCGCTTGATCTTACCCTGTGACAACCATGTTGAGAGATCCTTCAAGGCAATGTCATACTTCTTCGCATAGTCAAACACAATGAAACCCTTCATTGTAACTCGTTGCGACTGCAATACGGCATTAGCGATCTATCAGCTACCACACGCCTAGCGGCAAAACTTACAATGACGTTCATGAAGCTCGTAGGCCCCTGGGGCTTGGCCGAGTTGTACTGGCTGATAGCACCGCAGATCACGAACCGAGAGTCTCTCTGGGCCCGCGCGAGACAAGCATCGAGGATTTCACCTCCGACATTGTCAAAGTACACATCGATGTACTCCGGTGTAGCCTCCTTCAACTGCTTCTTCCAGTCCTTGTCCTTGTAGTTGATGGCCACATCGAATCCCAGCTCTTTGACCAGGAACTCGCACTTGTCGGCACTGCCCGCAATGCCGACGACCCGCTTGGCTCCCTTGACCTTGGCAATCTGTCCGGCGACCATGCCCGTCGCGCCGGCGGCACCAGACACAACGACGGTGTCGCCAGGTTTCGGCTGCCCGACCTCCGTCATGCCAAAGTAGGCAGTCAACCCCGTCATTCCGAGCACCGACATGGCGTCGGTGGGTTGGCAGCCGGGAGGGACGACCACCTTCTGGGCCTCCTTGGGCCCCAGCAGACAATACTCCTGCCACCCGGAGTAGGCGACGACCCAGTCGCCGACCTTGTATTGGGACTGTAGTCCGCTCCCGACCGCGACCACCTGTGCGATGCTCTGGCCGCGCATGACGCTGCCGCGCTCAACGGGGGCAATGTATGAGCGTTTTGCTGTGAGCCATTGGCGCATGGCCGGGTCGAGGGAGAGGTAGTGCACGCGAACGAGGACTTTGTCATTGGGGATCTGGTCGGGGATGGAGGTTGTGTTGAGCTTGAAGGTTCCATTTGTCAACGAGGGATCGATGGCCGGGGAGGGCGTATTGGCGTAGATGATCTGTCTGTTTGGGATGGGCATTTTGGCTATCTGCTTGCTGGAACCAAGATATGAAAATGCAGATGGAAAAACTGCAGTGAAAGATGAAGTGAGCCTTCACATATAGGCTTCGGTTATCGAGTCTACCTTTTCTGACACCCTTTTGACTTGCAGCAAAAGTACCTCGGCACGGCCGATGTTCTGTATTCAGTTATCAGTCCGTTTCTCCAGCTGTCCCACTAACGATGATTCCAAAGGAACTAATCTAGAGACAGAGTTTGGCACCGCAAATTATCGGACTTATATCTAATTCTAGAAGAAGTCTAGAAATTAACAGGATCATTCAAAGGCTGAGGACAAGCATAATTGCATTGCTGACTTATACAGCAGTTGTTCATTTATGCATTCATGACGTAGTTATGCACCTCCATCTTTATCGATAAGGGTTTCCTCTTTGGGAAATCCTGTGAACCCAACAGCAGCCACCGAGCAATTTGTACGACCCTCCTGCCAGTTCAGAGAGGCTTCAATATGGCCGCATTTGATGCGATCAAGCTTTTTAACCTCAGATAGCATATGATCTACCAACTTGGGAATGCATCCAAAGAGCGTGCGCTCCCCGACAGAAAGTGGGATCAGCCTGACGTCACCGGTCAAGGCGATGATGTCGAAGGTGCTGAGCATCATCAAACTGGGGCAAACTATAAGAACATCTAGACTTCGACAATCTATACACTAGATATCAACTTACTTTTTGATATCAAGAGATAATTTCCAGTTCTACAACATGAGTACCACTCAAGCGCCTTACCAGTCCTCCACCTTCGGAGGCTACCAAGACCCCAACTCCACCACTCCAACTGGGACCAACGTCAACACTGCAGCTAGCACCGGTGACCCTTCCACTGGACCTGCCTCAAAGTCAGCCGGCCCACATGACTCCAATGTCGCCAACACTCTCGATCCCCGCGTCGACAGCGACATGAACAACCGGGCCCAGTACGCCCCAGGCATGGCCGCCTCCGGCAACGTCCACCCGGGCGCCACACAGAGCTACGACAACCCGAACAGCACCAACGCTGGCCCTCACGGCTCCTCGGTTATGAACAAGCTCGATCCCCGCGTCGACAGCCAGACAGGCAACACGACCACCAAGACGACCAACCAGACAGGTACAGGGACCTCCCGCAATCCCACCGATACCTCTGGAGCGGGTGCGCGTGTCACGCGCGGCTCCTCGACCACCTCCGTCGGAGCGCCTGGAACGGAAGATAATCGCTCGCGATATGACCCTAACGTATCGGGATACAACCCCGCGACTGGGTCGGGATACGCGACGACCGGCGGCGTGGGCCACCAGCCGGTCCCGGGATCCAGCAGCTACGATAAGCAGGACTACCGAGCTGAATATGCGCCCAGCACTACAAAAAAGGAGTACACCGCGGATGGACAGAGCCGATCAGCCGCCAAGGGCGAGGAGATTGGCCGTGGGGTGAGATCAGCCATTGCTGGCATTCACGTAAGTCGACCTGATCCGTTCTCTGATTAGCGGAAATGAGTATTAACCAGGACTTCAACAGGGTGCTGGGGAGTCATTGCGGGGAGCACTGAATGCAGCTGTTGACAAGGCATTTGGTCATGAAGAAGGCGCAGCGAAGAACGAGGCCATTGCGAATAAGGGTGAGCAGGAGATCCAGTCGGGGACGCTTGCTGGCCAGAGGGAGACTCGTTAGGCAGTCTACTTTTGTTGTTATGAATGATGATACCATGGTTTTTGTATTTTGCAATTGGGACTGGGATGAAATTGTTATTGAATTGTTTGAACAAACCAGTCCTCCGTACTAGTTATTGTGCTGAGGTGCTGGACATGATGTATCATATGTATCAGTATCAGGCGCTATGTTAAATGTATTATGATTCAGTGGTAAGGTAATGGCCAGGTCGAAGTCAAAAATAGCTTATTTGTCTGATCTTCTTTAGAGCATATATGGGAGATTATCCTTCTATAGACATGCCAGAGGTACTGTGACTACTACCACTGGTATAGTCTACAAGCAATAAATGTATGGATAGCATCATGAAACACAGCATCAGAATAATCAGGGGCTAACTAGGCCAAGATCTATTCAAGCATCTCCAGCTTTTGCCTACTAGCGAATCATCATCCCTCAATTGCTTCATAAATCCACCACTGTTGTGTGAATGTCTTCCGGCAGCTCCGGAGGCTGTGCACTTGTTCAGTGGAACCGAGCCTGTGTGTCTGCCACCAGGAAAAAAGAATGAAACCAACAAAGTTCCGTTGGTTAAAAAGGATTCATGAATAGTCCAATTATTATTGAGAAGAGAAGAAGGAAGTGACATCAATTTCTTATTAATTTCATCATCAAGCAAAGTACCTTCTTTGGATGTTTTTTTATTCCTCTTCCTCCTGCTCTTCCTTGAGGCAAGATTTACGAATACGACTACGACAAGCTAGAGCTTCATCGTCTCATCTCAGACATCTCCATTCCTTAGACTGCCTTAGTGTCTCTCACATGTGAATTCGTGGTTCTAGTTTGCTTCTTTTAATAAATCGTTATTATCTGTCTTCCATTATCGTTCTTGCTATCATCATTATCCCCCGTTACTACCGCATGGACAAAGTCATATACCACCACCAGCAACCTCAACTTCTACATCATGCCGGTCTCGCTGGTCAATCCGGAAGGCCAGGATCAGGTCAATGCCATTGTGGATACTTCTTCCAGCCCTGAGGATCGATCTCCGGTCCTGCAGTCCAATTCCGACAGCGATGAACTGGGCTACCATTCTGTCGACGCCGCTAAGGAAGATGAAGCCAACGAGATGGTTGGCGTCAGCATTGGCCCAACGCAGAGTCGCATGAAGGCCCGTCTGACGCCCGCGGAGGAGAAATCACGCATCATGGAGCGCAATGGCAAGTTTTTCGATGCCATTCCTGACAATGTCGTCGACTCCGATGGTCTCTTTCTTGCCGAGATCACTTCTGAACCGGAGTCCCTGCCGGATGCTCGTGAATCGCATGCGCATCCACCAGAGGGGGCTGGTCTGCCGGTTCGTGCCGGCCAGGCCCCGAATGGGGTGCACCGGAGCACTGTCCCCCCGGCGAAAGACGGTCAACGGACCAGTTTCACCAGGTCGATTCTGAAGAATGGACTGCCGCGTCCTCGGGCCTGGTCTGGGGATGCCATATCCAACTTGCGGCTGAGGAAGTTTCTGCCGGATCTGGGCTCTTTGGCGAAACGGTCTTCGCTGCCCTTCCGGTCAAATACCTTGCATGCCCGAGCTCGCAGCCAGACCGTGAAGCCTTCGCCGTCTCGACTGGCTCTTGAACAGGCTCAAGCGGCCGCTGAACACCAGAGGCGGCGATCGTTCTCAACTCCAGACCCGAATCCAACGGCTGCGGATGAGCCGGTTCCTGAATTGAGACCTTTGAACGGGATGACGGCTGCGAAGCATTCATTTACACAAAGGCCCGGTAATTTCTCCGGGCACCCGGCCTCGCTCAGGCGGTCCTCATCGGATCAATCTTTGTACCTGAGAGCATCGTCCACGGCGTCGTCCCTCGATCAGGCACCCCGGTACGAACATATTCATTCCCAAATCAACAGTCGTTTCAAGGCCATCAAGGACAGTCTTCAAGACTCTAGCAGCCGGCTGCTTAGCATGCCCACCTTGCACCTTCAGGACCTCCGCAGCGACTGGGGATACAAGCCATTTCTCAGCGACGTCGCCCATCGAAAAGGCAATAGTAATGACGCTGCCGAACCGCAGTCCCACCGGGAGATCCTCAGAGAAAAGACCTCGCAGTCGCGCGAGCAATCCCCACGCAATAATTCAGCCTCGATGCATCCGATACTGGCCGAAGCCATGTCCGAGTTGACGGGCGACGTTGTCATCTTGGGAGGCTATCGGGGCTCTGTCCTGCGCTCTGCCAAACCGCCCCAGCGCCAGCTGTGGGTGCCGATGAAAGTGGGCCTCAATCTTCGCAAGGTGGATCTCGAAGTCGGCTTGAACCCGGAGGACGAAGAGCGGATGGAGGAAACGATCATCCCCTCGGGCGTGTTGTCGCATGTCGGGCCCGTTGACATCTGCCGCCGGCTGATGAAGCGACTGCAAAAGTGCGACAACGCGGTCAATGGCAAGCTCCGCGTCTGGGACTACGGCTACGATTGGCGACTGAGTCCGCACCTGCTTTCGAAGAAGCTGATCAAATTCCTGGAAGGCCTTCCGTCCAATGCACCCGACGTGCCACGCGAGAGGAGAGGAGCGTATGTCATTGCCCACAGCCTGGGGGGTTTGATTACGCGCCATGCCGTCAACCAACGGCCCGAGCTCTTCGACGGGGTCCTCTACGCAGGCGTCCCACAGCAATGTGTCAACATCCTTGGGCCCCTGCGCAACGGAGACGAGGTGCTTTTGAGTACCCGGGTGCTCACCGCACAGGTGAACTTCACCTTTCGGACGAGCTTCGCCCTGCTGCCCGAAGACGGACACTGCTTCATCGACAAACGCACCAAGGAAGAATACCGCGTCGACTTCTTCTCCGTCCAGAACTGGGACGAATACCGCCTCTCGCCCTGCATCAGCCCCGCGCTGCCCCCGCTGACCGCCACCCGCGGCTTCAAGGACAACCTGCCCGATCTGGGGATCAGGAAGCGCTTCTCCACCGTCCTCGGCAGAGACAACGGCTCCTCCGAAGAGATCACCGACTCGCCCGCCCAACGGAGCACCGACGGACGCGCCGTCCACCACCCACACCTCCGCGAGAACGCCCCTCACGCCACCGACCCCGTCTCCTATCTACCCAACAAGGCCTCCGCCATGGCCCCGACGGGCGACGGCCTCGTCGGCCCAACCTCCAACCTGCGCGGCTCGGCACACACCAAGGTCGCCACGACGTGCACCATCCCGCGCGCAACGGCCCTCGCCTACCTCGAGCGCACGCTGGCGGAGGTCAAGCGCTTCAAGCAGGAGCTCGCCTTCAACGCCGCCCACCAGTCCGAGAACCGGTACCCGCCCGCCGCCGTGCTGTACGGCAAGTCCGTCCCCACCGTCTACGGAGCCCGCGTCTGGTCGCGCGACCAGATCAGGCGCCAGGACGCATACGACGATCTGGCCTTCGCGGCCGGTGACGGCGTCTGTCTCGCCTCGGCGGCGATGTTGCCTCCTGGGTACCGGATCATCAAGGGTGGCCTGGTGAGGAGCGAGCGGGGACATGTTGGGCTGCTGGGGGATCTGGAAGGCGTTGGCCAGTGTCTCCGGGCTTTGGTCCGTGGCCGACGGGAGGGTGTGGGACTGGGCCCTTCTTCGTAGCCGCTTATATGGACTGGGCATTTGTTTGCCATGCATTTGATACCCTATCTTTGTCTCTGATTTCTGGCGCTTGTTTATGATGACGACAATATGAGTAATGACTTGACTGCTATCCTTGCATGGCGCCTTTTGTATACTACATCTCCAATCGTTCATACATAGAATATAGATATGTATCAATGTATATCGATCGATCCTTGCTCTATTTTCATGTTTATCCAATTGGTTTTCATATTTCTCAAGCAACCATGGTCTATAGTTTTCCGCGAACCGCCAAGGAACAGAAAGTCAAGGGTAAGCGTGATAAGCGTAACAGTATGGCAGAATATAATCTTCAAAGATCCAACAGATATAAAAATACTACAAATCATGCGCCGCATAGAATTCTAAGAATGAGAAAAAGAAAAAGAAAAGTCTAACCCGTTCTCGAGTTGGCAATGTTGAGGACCAGAATGTCCGACGCGCCGACCTTGACCAGCTCGTCCATGACGGTTGCAATCTTCTTCTTCTCGACCATGGAGCTGACGGCCACCCAGCCCTCCTCCTCGAGAGCGGTGATTGTGGGCGCACGCTTGCCGGGGGTGATCTGCGAGGCAACCGATAGCTCGGAGCGGGGAATGTTGTACTGGCACAGGACGTATCGTTGGGCGGCTGTAGTGGGGAGCGTAAGCATTTGGCACATTCAACAAGAGTGAGAGGGACGTACTGATAACACCACGGATACGAGAGGTGATCAAATCAACAAGGGAGTTCTGGGTTGACCTAGACTTGACCAGCACGGCCGTGCTCTCGACGACAGTATCAATGGCCTTGAGACCAGCAGCCTTCATGGTCTCGCCGGATTCTGCACCCCGTCAGTACCGGACTCGATCGACCTAACGTCCGAGGGAAAAGGGTAAACACATACCGACAAGATCGACAATACCGTCGGCCACACCAAGAGCGCAAGCAGCCTCGACACTACCACCGACATACTTGATCTTGGTGCTGAGCTTCTGACCCACCTCCACACCCTCCAGCCGGGAGAAGAACGCTTTCGTCAGCGCCGTGAAGCTGGTCACAACGTTCTTGCCGATCAACTGCTTCGCCTCCGTGATGTCGCCCTTCTGCGGAACCTGCACCTGCAGCTTGCACCCGCCGAACCCGAGATCCATGATCTCCTCGACGCCCGAGACCTCGCCCTCGGCCAGCTGCGCATCATGTTCGGCGACCTGGTCGCGTCCGGTGATACCGAGGTCGACGCGGCCCTCGCCGACAAAGGTTGGGATGTCTGCGGCGGGGAGGAAGATGAGCGCGATTGGGAGATTCTTGACCAGCGCGATGTCGAGGCGGGTTTCGCGGCGGAATTGGATGTCACTGCCCGACAGGAGGTCCAGGGTAGCCTGTTGGAGACGGCCCTCTGTTGTGCACAAGAGTTACGAGTTAGCTGGGGGGGTCTTCGTCGTTGCGATCGTGGGGTCTTGTGGTCAAAGAATAGAAATGCGATTGCGAAAGACGAGGTGAGTCACAGAGGGAACTTGCTTTTAGGGACGGCGAAGAGAAGTCTTCCTTCGAGGCTGAGAGAGAATGTTAGTCGATATAAGACGGACTTATGGTATAGCAATTGAGTCAAATTATAGGGTCTGTTCTTGTTGGTGCAGGTCACGTACTGGTTGACGAGATCCATGTCTACTGACGATCAACGGCGCGGGGTAGATGAGAATTCTGTAGGGGATCGCGGCAAGCTTGGAGGGGAAAGGATTGATATTATTCACACGAGCGCAATTAAATAGTGAGTGACAATGATATCCAGTATATTCAACGGGAATTGACTGGCGCCGTCGGCGATGTGCCTGGGATGAAGAGTTGACCGAAAGTTGCGGAACGAAATCGGAGTTCAGATTCTGACTCGAACGGTGAGGGGCAGAAGAGCAGGACAGCAAGTAGAGTAGAGTCAATCGCGACTACATCTATTCAAATATAGCTATATGTAGTATATACATGGAAGACGAATTCATGAATACAGATACAGGTTCTACGAATCACATTATTCTGCTGAACCACGAGGATTCCAAGGTTGAACATTTGGAGTCTGAGATCTCTTCTAAAGCAAATAAAAAAAGTGGCGGTTCCTCATGGTGCCTTGTGGCCTGAATTGCTGCCTTGGTCATTCGGTCACGGTCATTTACTGCCTGAAATACCAGGTGTCTGTTAGCCCTGAGCCCTCGCGTAAAGTTTCCCGCGTTATGCCCAAAACAGAAACCCACACAAGCCCGCGCCGCAAATTCCTCGCTTGCAACACAGTCCATCTACCCGTACGGCCTCATCTAACCCACCTACGCCGCCATCTTCCCTTCTATCCCGTCAAGTCAACCCTCTCGCTGTCGTCGAGCCCAACCTCCAAGATGGATTCCGCCAAGCAGCCTGTTAAGCTCGTCAAGGTGACTCGTGTTCTCGGCCGTACCGGTACGTGATCTACAAAAATAGTGATGGATATCGCAGTTGGATTTGGTATAATAACTGCTTTTGGTTGCTCGCTTTAGGCTCCCGTGGTGGTGTCACCCAGGTCCGCGTCGAGTTCATGGATGACACTTCCCGCAGCATCATCCGTAACGTCAAGGGTCCAGGTATGCGATTTCCGTTGAGCGATTGAGTTTTGTGGGAGGTGGTTTCGGGGGTTTTCTTTCTCTTTCGGTGGTCCTCGTATCCCGGCCGACAATCCGATCGCGACATTTCAAAATGGAGGAAGAAACTGGTCATCTCGACACAAGGAGCGAAAGGAAAAAAGGAATGACTGCGAATGCGAATGCGACTGCAAACCGGAATCATATCGAACTGGGATACAGGGGGACCATCGGAAGGGAAAACCAGAGTCGAATATCAAAAGTGCATGGGCTAACTAGGAATTTTTGTCGCAACCTACAGTCAAGGTCGATGACATCCTCTGCCTGCTCGAATCCGAGAGAGAGGCCCGCCGTCTCCGGTAATTTCGAGTCGAATTTCTCGCCGAGTTGTCGTCTTTTATTCCCTCTCGAGGCCATGTACGTTTGCTTGCGTTGGAAATGATTCTGGGAGGTCGGGAAAGGCAAAAGTTTTTCTAGCAATGAAAAAAGCGTGGCTGGTTCAACTTTGCATGGGCTGATGCGACGAAACGGTTGTGATACTTTGGCTTTCCATCCAAATCTTTCTACATATCCTATCTGTCTTCGAGATATCAGGGAATAAAAGAGAGAGCCAACGGGGAAACCAAGCTCAACCCTTTCTAATGAAACGCAAAAAAATTTGAAAGCAACGATGCTCGAATGGGCGGACTCTTCTCCCTTGTTCCCTTTTTCGCGTCTTGTCAACGTGTCGCTTGTCATGCCCGCAGGTCGCATTGCCCTTCTCGAAGGTGAAAGACGGAGTAGAATTTGTGTCCTGGTTGATCTTCCGTCCAGGATGGCTTGCATGACGCATGGGTTATAGAAGATCTAGATCTGTGGGAAACCGAGGAGAAATATACGACTTATCACGCAACCACCTATCACTTGCATCGAGTCTTATCTGGGTCTTTGCTGCAGTTGAGGGTTCGTTGGAACTTGGGTCAGAGAGGGGTTGGTCGTGACTCGCCGCGCAAGGTCTCTGATTCCAACACCTCCCAAATGCAAGTCACGATGGGTCTCTACCTTTTCCCAGTCAAGATCAAGCTACGTCTCGTGGGATGATCGCCAGCCCTTGATATAGATCGTAATCTGTAGTAGCTTCAAGCTAGGTAACTCTATACGAGAACTCCACAGGGTGACCCTGAATAGAGGTATGATGATTGAGCCCGGTCTATGTCGTTACTATGTGTACAGTAGTTCATGCCAATTCCCTGAAAGTCTTTCACCGGTCTGCAAGCCCACGCTACAGCTGCTCCGCGTTGCTGATGAGTCGTTCGAAGAAGTCCTCGTCCCCCTTTGCAGGATCCTCCATCAATCCTCCAACAGCCGTAAGAAGTCCGGCAAGTCGACGACGGCGAATCTGCTCTTCTAGCTCCGTACTCTTCTGCCTGGCCACTTCGAGTAACGGCGCTGGTAGGTTCGCCAACCGTGCTACGTTCAATCCGTAACTGCGATGCGCCACACCCTCTCCGACTTCGTAGAGAAAGGTGATCTCTTCCTCCTTGCCAGACCCGGACTCGGTGAATCGCATGTGCACGTTGCGAAGTTCGCGGTCCGGAAAGGATTGCGCCATATTGGAAAGATGCTGATAGTGGGTGATAAAGAGCGTCAGACTTCGGATCGTCCGTACCATGTAATCCAGGACCGCCTGCGCGATGGCAACCCCGTCATGAGTAGACGTGCCCCGGCCCAACTCATCAAGGATGACCAGCGAACGGGGCGTTGCCTGCTTGAGGATGTCTGCCGTTTCAGACAGCTCGACCATGAAGGTCGATTCACCCGCCAGCATGTTGTCGAAAGCTCCCATGCGAGTAAACACGGCGTCCAGCATGCCGAGCTTCGCTGACTGAGCGGGAACGTAGGAGCCAATCTGCCCCATGATGGCAATCAGGGCTATTTGCCGTACATAACTGGACTTGCCGCCCATGTTCGGACCGGTGACGAGGAGGGCACGAGTCTTGTCGCTATCCAGATCAATATCGTTGGGAACGTAGCTATCGAGCAGAAGTTGCTCCACCATTGGATGGCGCCCTTGTTCCACGCGAATACATGTTTGGTCGGTATACTCGGGCTTCACATATCCTGGCTGGCTAGCAATTGCGGCCAGGGAGAGCAAACAGTCGAGCGTCGCTAGAGACTGGACGCAGTCACGGAAGGCCTGATAATTAGCCGCTATCTCGGCCAGAAGAGCCGCAAACGCTTTGTCGCACGCTGCAGCCAACGCTTCCTTGTGCTGATCTCGTTGCCGTAATAGCTGAATGACCTCTGGCGTATGGAATCTAGAAAGCTTCTTGGTCCCGCTCACTTTGACCCATGACGCCGGCACTCGTTTGATGGCCGCTGAAGTGTTTTCAACCTCGATCAGATACTCGATCCCCGACGATGTAATGTAAGTCACCTTCGGCCTCTTGATGATCTCGGCAGCGACAGAGCGATGTTCCTCTAATTCGTGTTCGACGCTCGCGATCCCGAGCTTGTGTTCGCTAATTTCTTCTGTCTCTTCCGATTCCCGAAAGAACTCATACTTGTCGTCATTTCGCGCCGCATGCATGTTGATCTTGTTCAGGAACTTGACAACATCTTCCAATATTGACGGTAGTTGAGCAATAGCCTCACCGAGAGCGGGCGATTTGAAGCCGGAGTCCTCGGGGGTCTTGACGTCAACATACTCCTGTGCAATGGTCTGCAGCGTCTGAAGAACAGTGAGAAGCTCTGGGCGCGTGCACTGCTTCCTCCTTAGTAAAAAGCTCCGCTACAGGCGTATTCAAGTCACATGTACATACCTTTCCATAGTAGATCCGAATCAGATTCTTCTCTAGATCGCTCTTGATCTTTCCTAGCAATCTTTTGAGTCTCTCCACCTGCACAGTTTTATCCGGACTCTTCAGCTCCTCAACAGCATTCACCCTTTCCTCCAGGCGCACCTTGTCCAGCAAGGGCCGTCCGACCCATTTTCGAAGCAACCTCTGTCCAAATCTCGTTTGCGTTCGGTCCAAGGTCCAAAAGAGACTGCCTTTGGCCGAATGATCTGTCTGGTTCTGGTAAATCTCGAGACTGACCAAGGTATTCGCATTCAGCAGCATGTGTGATCGAGAAGAAAAGTGTTGAAAATACTTGGTGAGCTCGAAAATGTGCTCCAATCCGTACTCTGTGAGATGCTCAATCATAGCCGAAAGACACACAGTCACCTGCTCCGGCAAATTAAGCACCTTTTGGAGTAAGTTACTGGCTGGCGCATCCTCCGCAGTATTGGCTGCCTTCAACTTTGCGGCATAGAAGTTCGCAACATGACTATGTGATTCGGCCACTGCGGTCTTCTTCTTAGCAACCCTATCCACGCGGACTTTGTCGCCAAAGGTATTCAGCTTGCTACCAGAGAGATGTCGCACGAGTTTCTCTGTAGCCTTGGACAGCTCCCCGACAATGACAAGTTCGCAAGGCGCGACATGAAGTAATCTAGTTTCCACCTCACTCCTCATAAATCCATCCTCAAAGTCATCGTAGATGATGTCACCCGTGTTCGGCTGGACAGCGACGATACCAACATGTACCTTTTCGTCATTGCCCCAGCCTTTTGCATTTGTTTCAGTAATGCATAGCATGTACCCGGTAGCCGGGGAAGCACCGCCTGATGCAGCAGGTGTAGCACCATCCAACCCCTCAACATCGTCCACATAAGTTCCCTTCGTGTATAGGTTGGTAAGTTTCCGGGAGAAAGGAGCATTACGATTGTCTCCAGCGGCCTTGAGGGCGGCAGTTTCCAACTGCCTCACCACGCCGACCTTGTATCCAGCTGTTACGAGACGCTTCACATGCACATGTAATCGGTGGACCGGTATACTAGCGGATGCGAAGCGATCGAGATGAGCTTCGGAGGGATCTGTTGGCAATTGCATACCCTTTAGCAATCATATCCCCAGTGCAAGAGGACAGAAGAAGTATTCCGAACTGACTTACGTTCATCAAACCTCATTTTGCCAGGTATGCATACAATACTCAATTCCTTAGCAGCGATCCTCGCATCCTCGCCAAAGAACCGAAACTTGTAGCCCACCTCGATCACCAACACCGTGTCCATATGCTTGCGCTTGATCTCAATCACTTGCCTCTCCAGCGGAGTTAGCTTGCTCCCACCCTTCTTCGACGCCCCTTTCCCCTTTGACTGGGGCGGAGGTGCGGGTTCATCATCCTCGTCGCCTTCCGCAACCTCCTCCGCGCCAGAGGGAGCCTCAGTCGCGGCATTCCTACCGATTCCGATAAGGCAGTCGGCTCCCCCCAGCTTCTTGACAAAGAGCTTGTGTAGTTTCTCGCGTTCCAGCTGCCGCTGCCTCGCTTCCGGATCGTCTGCTTTCTCGGTGCTTGCATCGTCAGCGGGAGAGCTAGCAAACTTGTAAAGATTGGTGCGTTGGCTGCTGCTTGATGGATGATCTCGTCCCCGTGCAGCATTCGACGCTTCTTTAACATTGCGTCCAAATTCGTTCTCGGAATAAACTCCGTTCGTTTTAACCCGCTTCGGAGCCGGGACCACTATATCCTCGTCCTCGTCCTCGTCGTCCACCAAATCATTTTGATCCCTTGTCGTTTCACGCAGCGGCATATCTGCTTTTTTCTGGCTCGTTGCTCGCCCATCTTCGTTGTCGTTGGTTCTCTTCTCTGTTGCCGGCGCCCTCTTCGTGAAGAAGCTGGAAATGGTCTGTTGTTTACGCTTGAGATTCTGTGAGGACGCCGGTGACGACTGCGACGAACTTAGTGGCATTTTATTTCTCAGAAGTCTCTGTGGACTTCCGAGTCGAATGGTCAACGCGAAGCAGGCCGAGGTCAGATTAGAGGCGCGGAATTTGGCATCGCAAGTAAAGAAGTGGCGATGAATCTTCCGATGTCTTTTGAGCGGTTAGCAGTGGGTTGCACCTGATTACAAGGTTTTTAGATATTTCCTTCCTTAATCAGTCCGATTCAAGGCTTCTGATTCTGTGTATGAATCCAAGGAGCGCTGGACACAAAATCATCCATTTCGCTGCATCATGGAGATGAAGCTTGACGCGTGGAGAACACGCTAGCTTATCGTGTGCGCGATCTAATCTTCATTGGTTGATTATCTAATCGTCTAATCAAGGTTATGAGTTATTGTATACGGATAAATAGTACAGCGATGCTCCACCATGCAACTCCATGCTACCGGACCCGACGCTCAGGTCACTGTCAAGATGTATAATAGTACAAAACCGTTGGGGTAACTGCAAAACACGCTGGTAGCGAATACGATTCTGAGCCTGGAATCATGTGCCTTTTTTGGGGACAGACATCCGGTTTGATACTGGACGATAGCAAGTGCTAATATATAAATAGGTCAACGGTTTGGTGGCGGAGAAGGATCAGTCATTCATGTTCAAGCGTGCCGCAACGGATGCGATTTGAGAGGAGAGAATGATGGCGTTGGAGAACATGTCCTCTTTGCCGAGACTAGAGAGAGCTCGTGTCCAAATAGAGTTGCTCAAAGTCGTCTTCCTCAACGTCTGATATAGTCGCCTCGGGCGATGTAGCGCGTGTCATAGAATGCAATCGGGAGGGATGACGACCATCAGCATCAAAGATTGGGTTCTCAGTGGGAAGCTTAGCGGTTGAGATAGCCAATGGGTTGAACGTATATCCAGCGTAGAAGCCATGACTCTCAAAAGGACTCAGTCCGTTGCTTTGAGCTTCTTCGAAGAAATACTGCGGTGTATAACTTGTATCGCCTGCGTGCTGCGGCCTAACCATTGAGGATTGCCACAGTAGAGGGGATTTAACCCGTCTGTGAGCGTCTAGCATAGGGTCGATATTTTCTTGCTCTTCAGAAGCATGAGCGACCCTTCCCGAAGGCAAAGGAGCATGATTACCCGAAAAGCGGTTGACTCTCCTTTCAGCTGTTGCTCCATGTCCAAAAAAAGGTTCTCGAGAAGGACTCGATACTCCAAAGCGCGGATATGGCTCATCGTAGCTCGATATGTGCTGGCTAGATTCGTCTTGAAACACTGTGAACCCAATGCGAGCCCTGGATTCGAGACCATTCACCGCCAGGCTGAATTCTTCCGTCTCGTCTTCGTAAGAGGAGCGAAGATGAACGCCATACTTATATGGCAACTGAGCCCCGGGATTCCTTGAAGCCTGAGAGTCATATCTGACCAAGCCGCTTTCGCGTCTGGTTGCCGTGCGTTTCGCAGCCTTCTTGATCCGTTTTCGATCCTGTCCACGCGGCACATTAGAGTCAACTTGGGAAAGTGCACGCTTCGGGCGAGGGGCTCGTCTCTTAGGGATCGGTGTCTCTCCCTTGAGAGGGCTGCTATCTTCGACATTGCCTGATATAACACGTTGCTTTCGCAGGATGCCTGTTGGCGAAAACACAAGTTCCGTGGGCTCGACACACATGGAGGTCTTTTCCATCATCTTGAGTATGCTCTCATCCTTCTTCTGGTTGCGCTTACGCCTCATCTGCTCTGTGGCAGAGTCAAAAATATCCATGCCAGGCCACAGTACTCCCTTCAGTCTTGTCATCTCATCCGCCCTCTCCTTGTCACCTTCGACTAGTCTGAGATAATCAAAGCTTCCACTGTCGTCAACAAAGGGGTCGCCATCGACGGAGCCGGTGCTCAAGGGTTGGAAAGCGTTGGCCGATCTGCTTTCTAGTTTCATTGACCGGCTCGGCGTGACTTGCGTGTTGGAAACACCCTCCTCTTCGGATTCAAAGTCAGGTTCATGTTTACATTGGTCTGGTGCAAGCTCTTGGGACGGATCGTTCGAATGCAGGGTATAGCCTGCTCGGACAAGAAACTGAGGATCAGGAGCCGACGACGAAGCTGACGTTTCATGATGAGTGGAAAGAGAAGCATCTCCGCTCCTCACAATGGGGTTACCATTCAGATGAGGGTCAGAAAGACGTGGGTCAAGGAACTCAGGTAAAGGCTGATGAGATGGAGGGCATATAGTTCTGGGCGTGTCTCTTGATCCAGCGCCGCGTCGAGCAGTCAATGATGTAGCAAGAGCGAGTGAATTCCCATGAGACTTTCTTTTGCGAGCCTCTTTGGATGCCATCCGATCAGAAAGTAGTTTTGCCAAGTTGTTGGCCTTGTACCATCTGTCGTACTCATCGAGGAGGTTCCTGGCTTGAATTTCTTGATGGCTTCGCACTTGAAGCTTGAAGTAATGAGAAAGATGGGCCTTTGATGAGACGTGGGTCAACAAATGAGATACATCGCTGAATCGAGCCCGTTTGGGACAGATGTTGCACTGAAGTGCTTCAGCATCCATCCTGGGCAGTCGAAATGAAGGATGCAACCCGAGCGAGATCTGAAAGGAAGTGACAAGTAAGAGATGTAGCCCGAAAATTGCACGAACACGGAAAAGAGCAGAACAAAAATCCAAGATAGAAAGACTGGCCCTGACCGTGAAAACCCTGTCTGATTGCAGAAGAAGTGACGATTATGGACAGATACTTGCCTTGAGATTCGCATTGCCATCCAAGCAGGTGATGGAGGTGCGAAGGGGTGTGCTGTGTAAACATTGCTGCTTCCAGAAGGGCCTGCCTGTAATTGACTCGATGTCCGTATTGGGAAGGTGGCGGGGATGTCCCATATCTACAGCAGTCAACTTGGAGAAGGGACATCAGGTGCAGTCGATAGTCAACATGAGGATGGATTGTAACAATCGGGAAAATATTTTTGATTCATCTCATCAGCTATCTAGTAAGAGGAGAATTAGATTGTGCTTTGCGATAGATTGTGCCAATGCGTCTTAACAGCCTATTATCAGGCAATTGTGGAATGATATGAAGCGGAAATAAGTCGCAATGGTCATTTCTTTTCTCCTGCCTTGTATCCCATAGTCCATGGATGGTAGAGAACAACGGGTTATTAGATTGCAGGAGGTCGAATTGATTACGGTTGGGGTCAAAGTTGAGCCATTACTGGCTGGAAAGGTGCTACTTTTTCAAGTATTTCATTGTGACTGTTCTGGGCATACAACTAGTTTCGGGTCAGCAAAAATGTGTCACAGGAGAGGATCGTGCCAGGCGACTTACTAAACAGGATCTACTTCCTGAACGCCTTCGAATTTCAGGAGACTCAAGCCAGCAATTGCAAAATGCGTATGAAAAACATCAACCATGTTACCCGGACGGTCTCCGAAACCGCCAGCTTCCGGATCCTGCAACGAGTCAGTTCTGACGATACCCTGGTAGACAACGAGGCGAGCACACCTGACAGCGAAGAATATATGTAGCCAGTTTGTGGCCATCGATCCAGTGCAGTCTATCAATCATCGCTAAGCTGGACCCGACCCACCAGCTATAACAAGCATCTTGCAACTTCTCAGGACGTCCATTCAGCCCACCATTGTCCAGTTGCCTTTCACTGAGCCAGCCACCAAGACGATCCTTGTTCACAAGGTCCAAACGTCCAGCAATGGCCAACGCTCCCACGCAGGTGAAGACCTGTCCAGCATGGGATTCGGCTCCGGGACAGATCCCGTATCCTCCATCCAGGTTTTCACACTTCTGAATGTAGGCGACAGCTTTAGTGACATCGACCAAATCCAGAAGTCCTAATAGTGACAAGGCATTGAAGGCACCATAGACGAAACGGGTATCCAATTCACCCCATTCGTCGCCCATGAATGAGCCTGTCGTCCTGTCCTGTAGCCCTGCGATGACTGTGATTATTTAGCATGATCGAAGTGCGAATTGAAGATGACCACAAGAGTGGGAGTCAAAATCATACAAGATCCAACTTTCTGCTTGCCGCCCAAACCACGTTTTTCCAGCTCGTCGACCGCATCCAGGGTTACGAGTATCTGCACAGCTGAGACAGTGTAAAGCATATGTGCATCATGGCCGGGTGCAGCTCCGAACCCGCCATTTTCGCGCTGACAGGAGAGAACAAAGTCGATAGTCTCTTCCCGAGGGAGAGCTTCCGGGAAGCCAAGAAGATGCAGGGCTGTCAAGCCCCAGTATACGCCATTCAGACGAAGATGCTCTGTGAGCCAATATTCCAGCTCATCCCGCCTCTAGCGTCAGCTGTCAACCATCTTCCCCATCATCAAGAGAAGATATAAGTATCACGCACGCTGTCCAGATTCTTGATGTACTCCACATGTTTGTGTACACACAACGTGTGATCTGGAAGACTGCCAACAGCCCTACCAGGACCCGAGACCAGAGACATCTTGAATTCCGGGCTGGAGAATTATTTTACTCGGAAGAATAGCTTGGTTAGTAATTCAGAGCTGGAAGTTTCCTTATCAGCCCGGAACCAGGTTCAAGTAGGCGAAGCAGATTCTGTGCAATCGGATCCACGGCTAGATAGATAGCAGAAGTACTGAAGGTCTGAGACCCAGGCACAAAGTTACACAGATTGTTCTCCAAGCGAACTGGCCAGAAGAGGCTAGAGCATGATATCAATCAAACTGGATTGAAAGAAGGACAAAAGAAAAAGCCACAAGTGCAGGCAGTATTCCGTGGGGAGAAGCAGCTAACAAGTCGCCTGGCTTCGCTGGTTGTATTAGTATGGCTCAGGGAACTGCCTGCCAGCCTCCATGGAAGCATTGGAAGGGGATAAATTTCTGCAGTGGAAGAATCACATTGATTTGTCGCTACTCGCTAGTCAGCGAGGGGCATGTTGCCACGTGACTTAGCGTCATCAAGGCGAGCCACAGGGGCTAAAGGGCGGGGCTTGTTTCAGAAGGGATGGATCGCCATGCTCGCCAAGTCGCCGTGCACAATCGAGTCCAAGAGCGGTGTGAAGCCATGGAAGTGTGAACCACGTGAATAGTATGTTAATAATAACTGAATACTGAATAGTAATAATAATATCTAGATAAATGTCTTTTTTTTTCTGATTTTCTGTTTCCATACATTAGATATGACTTCTAAGGAGTATCAAGATGTGCATACGTAAGCTGGTTACCTCCATAAGAAAGTCGATTAGAGAAGCTGCTCCATAGTATCTACTACATATGCTCAATCTTCAAGCACAAACTAATCTGGCTCGAGGACTTTGATCACTATCAGCGACCTTCGGGGTGCATCGAATCGATGGGTGTTCGACTTTTTAGTTGAGACTTCTTGCCCTTGATAAATGCTGTGAAATGCCATGATCGCTTTGCGCACAGGATAGAAAGTCCCTGAGGCACTACTCCGTAAGCTGATACACTGATAGAGTGATAGATCGGCATGGGCCAGCGAGAATCCAGCGGGGTAATGGAAGTGTACTTACATTTACAGTCTTACAGAAGATAGTAGTAGGTAGACTCCGAAGAGACCAGACGTTGGTGTGAAAGTGAGACTTGAGACATTACGATTCCTTTTTTTATCGTCACCCCACCGGTTGTATCAGAATGATCTCTTTGACCCATGGTTACGCATTTTCTGATAGACAGTACCTTAGGTATGTAGTACCATAGTAGGTACAACTTTTAAGTCACACAATGCTTAAGGAGAGGTTGTAAAGAACAAAGACTACTTACTCTGTTGCCTGTATAAACTATGAATAAACTTCAACTGAACAGATCATGGTGGTGATACTCCCCCTTTCATTTATATTCATAAAGCATATACTTCAGGATAACAAGTTAACAACAAATACTGAGGCCGAGGATACCGACTTAATTTACTACTAGCCGCCAGGTACCCATCCATTCCTTCAAAGATTGAATGCAACCTCGTGATTCGACAAGATGAGGTAACTCGACCCTCCGGCAATATTTGGTTGACCAATCCATTGTCTCAATCGCATGCTTTGAACCGGAGTGTACATCAGCCCGTCCAAGGCTCCAACTGTCAGAGCCAATTCTTTTGACCACTAGGAATTATTTTTCGGTGTAAGGAACATGGTACTGTCTGGTGTTAGGCTATTTGGTGCCTGTATGAAAATCCCCTGAAGTAAACAAAAAGCGAAGTTGGTATGACAAAAGTATTGGTAGATGGTCAATAGGCGTGCCAGTAGCACCGAGTACTGCTTCAGAACTTAGTAGAGGCAAGAATCATGAGGGTAAGATTTCATCTAGTGGTCGTTGTATTGATCCCAGAGCATAAATGCGCCCAGACAGAATTTCATTGTACAATTGTGTTAAATGTTGATCATCATTGTCCTTCAATCGAGGATTGGCTTCGGATTGACACAGCGTCATTGAACCAGCCACGGACACAGATGATCTTCCTCTAGATAAGTCTAAGATATGTTTTATCTGTCTGGAATTCTGGATCCAAGTTTCGATGATCATACTGGAAATAATTAAGAAGATTGAGACTGAACATTAATATTATCCACTGCTCTTACAAGCACGTACACAAAAGGTGGCACCTGAAGTGCCCACTAGACATTTATAGATCCATAAAGCAATTACCAATTCGCCATAAACTTCAATCGGCACTAATCTTCCCCTTTTTCTTAGCTTAATACGCAGCCGCGCTTGCATTATTATTGCCTTATCTAACTAACGCCTGTCAAGGTCCCAAGGACTCAAGAAGGAATGTGTCGTCGCTGCGACGAGCGAGTCAGCGACACTGCGAGATACCACTCCAGTCTGTGCGGGAACCATCCTCTTGTGTCCACTGCTAGTATTGCTACTACTTACTGTAAGCCCCTACTTACACAAGACTTCCCATTCTACTCATTCATAGCTATTTTTTCTTTCACTTTCGCTTTTTGGAGGAACTGTAACTCCTATCTGATTTTTTTCTTTTCTCTTTAACAGTTCTTCTTTCACATCTAGCCACTTGGAAATTGTCGTCGCGCTTGCTGTTACATCAACATCGCTTCTGTCTTTGTACACTCTTCACCGACCGCCCCTCGATCCCACAAGGGGGAGAAAAAAACAATCCCACAAAACATACACGCGAAATTCAAGGCATTAGTCTAGCGTACATTCGTTCAATAATCACTGCCTATCACATCGTGAGCAACGATTTCGTGGATCGCTCGCCTTTCACTGCGATTGATGGAAAGCCAAAGAGAATAGGCGTGGACAGAGAGCTTTCAAGAGTATGAGGGGCGACATACTTTGGTAGGTCGGAAAGGTGTCTTTGTTGAGCGAAATTCAGACCAAACTCCCATTATCTCTTGTGATGATCCCTTTCATTGAAGGGTGCGCTTCATCAATGGTCATCAAGGGGTTGAGATTATGTCAATGTCAGCTTTATTTATAGCTCGCCTTGATTCATTATGAGACCCCTACATTCAGTCATGCTCCTTGCGGCGAAAGACATCATTCTACATACTTTTATCTCTTCGTTATTCATACAGCCAGCTTTGCTCCTTACTATCTCACTAATGGTCGTGCGACTTCTTGACAGATCTCAAACCCCCAAACCATATTACCCCCTTCAACGGCGATCCGAACCGATAGTGACCATCCGAAGCATCGAAAGAAGTATTGGAAAGGCTGGTTCCGTTCCAATACTTTCATCAGAGTGATCTCAGAAGACGGTCTCTCGCGCCCCTTTCCCTCGGACATTTTTGGAGGAAAGTCGAATTTGCTCCGTCATCTGGACGACTGGAAAAGACTCAGACGGGTAAGTCCATACGCCTGGGGCTGTTTACTCATGTGTCAGCTCCCGGTGATTTGCCTGTCGGTCAAAATCTCCCAGTTTGTACTGATCCATGCTCTCGCAGGCTGATCGATTAGAGTCCCCTCATAGAACTTGCACATCGAGTGGGCACTTGATATATCACTTTTCCCGCCCTGACTGTTTTTTTTTTCCCGCGACACTCCTTCAGGCGAATTGCCCGGCGAACGACGCACGTCTGAAAATGCCTTCGAGACAGTCCACCGTTCCCAATTTAGATCTAAGCTCCTTCACCCTGCAGGCGAATGCGAAGATCTTGTCTCCACTTACGCCCGGTGCCCAAAGCTCCGACGGAGCTAGTCCCCTGACACCCCGTTCTCCCAAATCCTCGTCGAGCTCGCCGTTCTTCAAGGGAGCGACCATCCGCCCTGTAACACAAGAGTCCAATAGCAAGTCGAGCAGTCCTACTTTCCCACTCTCCTCTGCTCAATCGGCCGAACCCACCACTCCCGGTTTCACAGCCATCCCTCCATATCCTCCTTCACCAAGGGATTCTCCCAAGCACAGTCGCGAACCGTCACGCTCTTTCTTTGCAAGCCTCAAGGCACCAAAAACTGCACATAGGGCCCAGCGCTCGGACGGTTCGGGAAGTTCGGGGGACAAGCCCAAGAGCCGGGGCAGTTCTAGGGATCGCAGAACCCAGATTGCTTCCAAATTGTACGAGTCGACTCCAGATCTTCCTGGTACAATCGAGCGCGCAGCCCAACAGGAAAATAGTAAGCGTCACGCTTCATACAATGTACTGAGTTTTGTCGATACTAATGGCAGGTCTGATAGACGGCGATACGGTCGAAGTCAAGAATACTCAACCGCTGGAGACAAGAAAGGTTGGCAGCGATCTTGAGACCGGAAATTTTGCGAAGAAGAACAAGCCGCGCTTTGCCAATCTCTTGTCGCGTTCTCGTTCCATCAGGCTGGACGACACCGCGTTAAACAGAATAGCCAATCGGCGTCCGTCAGCGACTTTAATGAAGCTTGAGGAAAGCAGCAAACAAGAGGCGGAGATGACCCCCAAGACAGCTACGTCGCGACAAGACCGCGGCTTCAAAGGAGCTGGGAATGCCGCAGTCCGTACCTATGCCGTCGATCGCGCCGGAGAGCCAGGCAGTAGTCAGGTTCGGAAAGAAAGAAATCATGTCGGCTCAATGGTGCCCTCGGCTTCACTAAGTCAGGTGTCAGGTGCTTCTGCTGCGCTGTTTAACAACCTCAAGCAGTCTTCCAGTGGTGCTGCAGACAGGATCGGAAAGGCAGGAAAAGGTTTCTTTGGGAAGATCACCAGGAGTGGCAGCACAAATGAACGTGAATTACTCAACGATGATAACTATGTCTGCTCTGTCATCAACCTCCCCCTTATCGAGCAGGCCAGACGAACACGCATAGCAAAGAGGCTTGAAGATTGCCGAGACAAGACCGAGTTTTGGATGCCTGCTTTGCCATATCGTTGCATCGAGTAAGTTGTCGTTTGTCGAGCTGGCCCTCATTTAAACTAACATCACATCAGCTATCTCAATTACAAAGGCTGCGAGGAAGAAGGGCTTTACCGCGTACCCGGTAGTGGTAAAGAAGTAAAACATTGGCAACGGCGGTTTGATACAGGTA